TAGACATATTTAATTTTGTATTTTTAATAAAAATATAAATTTTTGGGGGAACGTAGACTTTTTGATAAAATCAGTAATTTTGATAATATTTTTAATAACAATTTAAAGAAATTTTGGAGAAAATTTAAGCAAAAGTATGATTTTTGTTTAAAAAATTGATTTTATATTAATTACAATAAATTTCTTTCAATTTTGAAAAAAAAATTTCTTATTTGAAAAACAAACACCTTAAGTCGCCAGATTGAAGATAAGAATTGCATACAATGTCTATTTTATTTTATATGTAGTATTGCTAATTAAATAATTATACACTAACAATATTAATGCAGTGAAAAGAGGCTTGCCTCTTTTTTAAAGTGAAAATTGATAAGTGCAATATTATTTGTAATTAAAAATATTTTAAACAAAAACTGTTTTTATATTTTTTTGAAATAAATATGTAATTGTAACTGTCTCTTCAGCATGCAATCGTTGACGGCGCCTGCTTAGGCAGACAATAAAAAGCACCATTATTCACATTAGAAATACACCAAAGACTCATTTAACAATGCGAAAGACACACATTTAACATCATTTTAAATACGAAATTTTGAGTTTGATTTGAAATATAAATCAAAGATAGTCCTTAAACCCCTAAAGATTTATTGAAAAGCGAATGTATAAGTTTTTAATATTAAATACCCTTGGAATTGGAACACTTTCTAATACCGTTAGATGAGGAACAGGTGTAAATATTTTAAAAATATACTTTTAAACATAAATAGACAATTGCCACACACAAAAACACACACATTATATACAGAAAATACTATGTATTAATTTAACTGACATCGAACTTGAACTTGACTGATAGAAATTTAAAACAGTTGAGACGGTATAATTTTATTTCTTTATGTCCGTCCAAGTGTCTGCCCGTTTTTTCGTTGCCTTCAAAAAAAAAAAAAACTAGAAAATAATTATAAAAAGACAAAAAAAACAAAAATACTTTTTAGTCATGTTATATTAAAATAAAATTAAATGAAATTGAATAAATTATATCTTTATCTGTATCTATGGCCAGCAATGTGTAGAGTATCGTTTATATTTATTGAATAAAACTAAATCAAGTATATAATTAACTAATTAAAACAGCCAATCTAATTTATTATAAAACATTTCAAGTGCAAGTAGTGACTGTTTGTCTATATTTCGCCCAAAGAAAAAAAAACGCGCTAAAAACGATTTATACGTTTTGATTTGTTTTGAAAAACATTAAAAAAATAGAAATAAATATTCGTAACTCAATAAAAGTGGATAAGACAACGTACAACTTAGTGTGTAAACAACAAAACAAATATTCAATTAAATAAATTAAAGTGGAGAAAATATGATCAATAAATATTGAACAGAGAAATATTTTCTGCTGTATAAATCGTTGTTGGTATTTATTGATGTAGATGTCTTAATTTGTAACTATAAATCAGAATGTTAAGAAATTAAATAATAAAGTAAAGGAAATGATGGAATACTAAAATAAACAAATAAATCTTATATGATTTGAAATACTGAAAGTATGTTCAAAAGCACTACTTTGAACATTAATCCCCCTATTTTGTAAAACAGTTCAGTTTGCATTAAAATAAATAAAGCAAATAATTTAAATAAAAAATTTTAAACGTTTAGAATAATTCGGTAGCGTTTTGGGAATTTTTCAAGATTTTAGTTTTTATTGATAAAAAAAGACAATAGAAGTTCACATTTTACTGTAAATCGGGCGAGGTAATTTCAGTACTTAGTAGTCTATAGTCTAGTCTATAGTCTAGTCTATAGTCTAGTCTATAGTCTAGTCTATAGTCTAGTCTATAGTCTAGTCTATAGTCTAGTCTATAGTCTAGTCTATAGTCTAGTCTATAGTCTAGTCTAGTCTAGTCTATAGTCTAGTCTATAGTCTAGTCTATAGTCTAGTCTATAGTCTAGTCTATAGTCTAGTCTATAGTCTAGTCTATAGTCTAGTCTAGTCTAGTCTAGTCTATAGTCTAGTCTATAGTCTAGTCTATAGTCTAGTCTATAGTCTAGTCTATAGTCTAGTCTATAGTCTAGTCTATAGTCTAGTCTATAGTCTAGTCTATAGTCTAGTCTAGTCTAGTCTCTAGTCTAGTCTATAGTCTAGTCTAGTAGTCTAGTCTAGTCTATAGTCTAGTCTATAGTCTAGTCTATAGTCTAGTCTATAGTCTAGTCTATAGTCTAGTCTATAGTCTAGTCTATAGTCTAGTCTAGTCTAGTCTATAGTCTAGTCTATAGTCTAGTCTATAGTCTAGTCTATAGTCTAGTCTATAGTCTAGTCTATAGTCTAGTCTATAGTATAGTCTATAGTCTAGTCTATTATGTCTAGTCTATAGTCTAGTTATAGTCTAGTCTATAGTCTAGTCATAGTCTAGTCTATAGTCTAGTCTATAGTCTAGTCTATAGTCTAGTCTATAGTCTAGTCTATAGTCTAGTCTATAGTCTAGTCTATAGTCTAGTCTATAGTCTAGTCTATAGTCTAGTCTATAGTCTAGTCTATAGTCTAGTCTATAGTCTAGTCTATAGTTAGTTCTAGTCTAGTCCCTATAGTCTAGTCTATAGTCTAGTCTATAGTCTAGTCTATAGTCTCGTCTATAGTCTAGTCATAGTCTAGTCTATAGTCTAGTCTATAGTCTAGTCTATAGTCTAGTCTATAGTCTAGTCTATAGCAGTCTAGTCTATAGTCTAGTCTATAGTCTAGTCTATAGTCTAGTCTATAGTCTAGTCTATAGTCTAGTCTATAGTCTAGTCTATAGTCTAGTCTATAGTCTAGTCTATAGTCTAGTCTATAGTCTAGTCTATAGTCTAGTCTATAGTCTAGTCTATAGTCTAGTCTATAGTCTAGTCTATAGTCTAGTCTATAGTCTAGTCTATAGTCTAGTCTATAGTCTAGTCTATAGTCTAGTCTATAGTCTAGTCTATAGTCTAGTCTATAGTCTAGTCTATAGTCTAGTCTATAGTCTAGTCTATAGTCTAGTCTATAGTCTAGTCTATAGTCTAGTCTATAGTCTAGTCTATAGTCTAGTCTATAGTCTAGTCTATAGTCTAGTCTATAGTCTAGTCTATAGTCTAGTCTATAGTCTAGTCTATAGTCTAGTCTATAGTCTAGTCTAGTCTATCTAGTCTAGTCTATAGTTTGGTCTATATTCTCTATAGTCTAGTCTATAGTCCAGTCTACAGTTTAGTCTATAGTCAATTCCTGAGTCTCAGTTTCTTTAAATTACACATTATATTAATATAAATTCTCAATATACTTTTTTTAATTTTTTACAAAACAATTTGTCTAAAAATATCTTTTCGCTTTGAAAACTATTTTTTTTTTTTCTTAAAATTTTTTCTTATATTGTTTTGATTAAAACTAATTAATTGTTTATTTTATTTGTTAATAACGTCAGAGAAACACGTTTTTTTAGCTTGTTCTTCTTAACAAAAATTATTTAAACTTTTGCTTTTTTTAATTAACACACAAAACAAATTGAGTGAAGTGAGTTCAACGACCAATTGAAACTAAAATGAAAACAAAAGTATAAACAATTTGTTTTGTTTATAAAGCAAAAAAGAACCAAAAAATACCGATATAACTATTTTTGTTAACAAACAAAATAAAAACGAAAAAAATCTAATCATTAATCAAAAGAGACCCATTTTGTTAGATTTTTATAAAATAAGGTCGAAACATAAAAAACTCCAAAAAAATGTACTTTAAAAGGGAGTATTTTTCTTAATACGATTACAATTATATTCTATATTCAAAGTCTTAGCACGCAGGCAGCAACATTGAAACATTAAAGACCTTGAATGTGCAACATGATGATGATGTTGGTCTAAGTAGAGATGTCTTCTAATGATAATTTGCTACAAAGATTATTATTTTTTTTTTTACTTTAAGACGGTTTTGTTTTTTATTTAAGTTTTTAGGCTAAGAATATTGAAAAAATGACTACTGCGGTTGTTGGTTGGCTTGTTAGCCATTAATAAGATTAGAATTATATCTATTACTTTTAATTTTCAAATTTAAATTTATTATGCTCCAAAAACATAAATTCTTAAGAAGACTTCTCAGAAACCACATTTAAATTTGGTCTAATTTAAATAAAGAGAAAAAAAGAGTTTATTTATTTTCAAATTTATTATACAAACATGCAAACTTATAAATTTGTAAGCTTTATTTTTTTTAATTAAAGTAAAATAAACCCTAACAAAATTAAATCAATTCATTTGAAGGTTGCTCAAAAGAACATTTAAATTCCTTGAACCACCATAAATTCAATTTTTATCCCAAAGATTGATGGCTGTTGAAAACAATACTTGTGTGAGCATTTTTAGATGATGATGATGATAATTATTTCCTAGAATTTGGGTTGATCATAAAAATTGTGCCCAAAAACACGAAATTTGTATTGTTTTTAATAAAGCTAGGACGAATATTCTTGCATATTAGGCTATTATGAGCCAAATTCTATTTTAATTGCACTTCATTTGGAGAATAATAAAACGTCGAACAGCTATTAAGCAATAAAAAGTCATTATCATTATGTTATTTAATTTAAAAGTGAAAGGCATTCCATAACCCGATATCAGTTATAAAATAATTAACCATAACAAGTAAGAATTTTATATTTTACTGCATCGAATCTTATGTACCGGTTTAGATAAATATTAATCCATAATTTTTTACTATTAACCAGTTAAAATACTGTTTGCATTTTATACTTCGATAAATAGATATAAATAGCATAAACAGAATTGTTTACTTAGGGATAGTAAATTAACCTATTTGTTCCACAGATCCTAGATTAAGAATCACGAAGTAAAATTACTAAAGTTATAATATTGAAAAATTTATTAAATTGTATCTCAATGTATTAAATTTAAGTTGAAATTAAATTAAACGCTTATTTGAATCTGAAGCAATAAATGAAACTAATTTAAACTTTTCGTTTTTTCTCTATTTGCAGTTGTTTCCCAGGAACATTAATATCTTTGCGGTGATCTTTTCACATTGATCATGCAACAAATATTCGATTTAGACAACACACATCAATCAAATTTGTATTATTGTTAAATTAAAACAACATACGTTACCAGGAATCAAATAAATAGATTCTAAGGAAAAAAGCAATCATCAGAAACCACCACAAAAATAATTAACTATAAAACAACCGAAAACAAAAGCAATATGAGGTTTTTAATATTTATATTTTTAGCTTTAGGTAAGTAGAATTTAAACCAAAACTAATTTCCTAATAAACTAATCCATTTGTGTTCTATAGTTCTTCATTTAGCCTGCGGTCAATATCATTCCTCCAGCGCCACCGCAGGCGTTAATTTCGAAAATTTATCTCCTTCACATGCCGCTGGTGGTGCTCTGGCTCAATCACAAAGCGATAACAGACCACGTCAAAGGCGCATGTATGCCATGTGTCCGCCCAATTTCCAACGTATTGGTCAGGAATGTTTCACGTATCCTCAGCAACACAGTAGCTGGTTGGAGGCTCACTTCTTTTGCAAGGACAAAAATGCCCGACTGGCAGAACCAGAAAAGTATACAGATCGCAAATTAAGGGAATTTTTACTTAAATATGATGCAGAATCAGGAGGTATGTTTTGAAATGAGTAATTAATCCTATTTAATGGTTGTAAAATTATTATATTTTAGATAAAGATCCCATTTGGATTGGTGCAACATTCGATGATATAAACAAAATTTGGCAATGGGGTTTTAGTGCACGTAATTTGACATATAATGCTTTCAGTAAAAAATATTACGAGTAAGTAATCGAAGGAAAATCGAAATCAAACTAGTCCCATATGTAATTCTATACAAACTACTCACAGTTTTATGGACATTCAAACTATTAACTTTACAATACCAAATAAAAAACCAAAATCTTAAGAAATAACTTTTTAAAGGTTATTTGTAGTTCTCTATTCCCTCATATATCCTTAATTATTAAGGCTTAACATCTCAAGAAGTTGATAAAATTATACTAAATAGTAACAAGAAAGAGATGCAAATCGCCTGTGATAAATTAATTCAGAACGTAAGAAAGATATTTCAAACAGTATATCTTACTAGATAAAAAAGGCATCTAATTTATATTAAAAATTTCAATACTATCAGTCCAGTCGTTTAGGATTGGGAAACAAACTAACAGATATACAAAGATTAGAATTAAACTAATAATACTTATATACCGATAATCGCTATGGAACAAAATATTAAACCTCTTAATAAATATAAATATATATTTCTTTCTCTGCAGAAAAAATACAAATATGGTCCAACAGTGTGGTGTTTATGACCCTCAATTAAGATACAGGTAAGTAAGTCAATTAAATTTAAAAACAAAAATTATATTCAAAAACTAATATGTGTTCATTTGCTAGCTTCGCATTTACTATATTTATTGTTTACGTTTAAATATTTTGTTTAATTTTCTTCAAAATTATTTAAAAAAACAAATGAACAGAACCTATTTTGTAAACATTTTATTTGTTGACTAACCTACAAAATATTCTCAATAGTTAAAACTATGGCATCCATAATAATATGATTCGTTAAAAAACCAATATTAATAAATATTAATAAAAATTTCGCATATTAAGCAAATATTCTGTACGTGATAATGTCAACTGATAACAATTTATAGTAAAATTAAGGTGTACGTTTAATTGACAGCGTAAAAATCACAAAAACAAACAACACATTTTTATTAATTATTTATATAAATGGAAAGTTTAACGAGACAATTATTACATGTTAATGTAATAATTTATTTTCTTACATACAAAATAATGGAAAAGAAAAAAAATAATTATTTTATAATCATACGTTTTTGCATTAATTGCAATCTTGATATAACAATTGCAAATGTATACAAGTCAATGCAATAAATCAACTAATTTTATTATTATTTGTTTCTTTTTCCCCCATTTTTTTAATTGAATATTGAAAAATGTTTAAGATGGTCGTCACGTACTTGCGTGGATAAACATCGTTTTATATGCCAACACAAAATGCCTAAGGTTAGTGAAAATAATCGTCATAAGGTCTATCATCGTTGGAATGAAACATATCCCAATCAGTATGCCAATGAAGTGATTTTGGAAGTCATCGATCACAGAGGAAAAGGAAGGTAAGTGTGTTGAATCAAATAAAAAATAAAAAAATTCCGTTTGCATTTCTTGGTTTCAAATGAGAGAGATTTTATTTTAATCATTTAACATTGAACTTTTCCTTGTTTCCAAAATAATTAAATATCTAATCGTTAAAATATTGTAGCATTTCGTCTAAACCAAATATGAAGAGTAAATCTTTAAATATCTTTATCTTTTTTCAAAAACATACCCATCTACCTACGTTCATTACTATTCTAAAATGCTATTTTTTATTAAAAAAACATAAATTTTTGTATAGAATTTCGTGCTATTTTATTTATTCAATTTAAAATCTCAAGTTGCTCTATAAACCTGTCTACAGGTTTTTTAACTTTAGTTTAGATTTTCGTTGAGATCGCAGCGATAGTGGTTACATCTTTTTGTGTTTCGTCAGTATTAGACGTCTCTGCGTGTTCTAGCAACTGTTCGCCTTTAAAAGTTTCACTATGAGGCTGCCGTACAGAATCTTGCGATTCAGTTTTTTCTACTTCATTATTTTGTTCCTGCTGCAAATTCGTTTTTTTATTCTCTTCTGTTTCCAAATATTGATCCCATTTATTTAAACGTTTCTGTATTTCCTCTTCGGTTTCTTCGACCCTTTAAAATGTTAAAAATCAAATTGGAAGGAATTATAACATAATTATAAATGCCAACTTACTTGTATTTTGTTTTGCCATCCCAATGTTCAGCTGTTAATTGGCGTTTACCAAAAAATCGACCATGCATCATTTGTATCACCAGGTCGGCTTCTTCTGGGGAAGACATATTAACTTGAGCTACACCTTCCGAGTGCCGCTGTTTGAAAGGAATATTTGAACATTTATATGAAACGAAAATAAAATCTATTGTACTCACATCATATATTACAACTTTGCGTACTGTGCCACATTTGCTGCACTCCTCTCTCAAATCATTTTGATAATCCAGTATCAATTGTACTTCCTTTTCGAATAATTCCGGATGGAATAGATTTTTGATAATGACTGTTTTTTCATGTTTAGATCTTTCGCCGCGCATTTTTTCTGGACGCCAATCAAAAAGTCTGCAATATTCAATTTTAATACAATTCTCAGCATATCAAGTAAATTTACTTACTTTTCCTTGATTTTAGCCAATTTCTCTTTGTCCTTCTTTTTTCGTTTGGGCTTTAATGCCGGATTGTATTCGCCTCTCATTTGAAATTGTGCTCTTTGCACTCGTATCTTATTGCCTCGAAGATCATACTCGTCTAGAATATTCAAAGCCAAGTCAACTGATTCGACCTTAAAAGTTATGGGTTTTTTTCAATAAAATTCTTCTACAGTTAAAATTAGTTTGAATTTGAAAGCAAACGTGCAGCGCAAATTAAAATTTTTATAAAGCAAGCAGAATAAACAGAAAAATGTTGATGAAAGTGCTAATTTGTAAAATGTTTGTTTAGTTTCAGTTTAATATAATATTTACACATTCACTCTGTATTTACACTCTTTTATATACAGTTTTCATATTTAATGGAACACTTTGAGGGCAATAATGAAACAAATGTCAACTATAATGAAAAATTGCCGATTCTATGTAATAGTATCCTTGATTCTTGTTGTCGTTTAGTACAAGCCGAAATCTTTCTCCTTAAACACGAGGGAAAATCTTATCATAAATTATTATTTTTCTTTCTTTAACTTCAAGCTAAATCTCTAAATGCTTAATTGTTGTACTCAGAAATACATTCATTTCTTCTTTCATTCTATTTTTCAAAAAAACTCATTTCGAGTCACTCTCTCTCTCTCTCTTTGCTTTAGGCATACAATTTTTGCACTCACTTTAAGGTAAATTTTCATGTTCTCATATTTATATTTAATTTTTAGAGCAGTTATTTTTTGTCATCTGCTCTTTTTTCTAAATAAATATGTAATTGACTTAATGCCTTAAAAATCAATCCAATTTATGTTAAATAATCCCCTATAACTCCTTTTGATTCTTGTTGGAGTTTCTTCCATTTTATTCTCTTATCTCTGTTATTTTCTTTGCTATACATTTCTTTATTATATAACTTCCATACTTTTAGCACTTTAATTGATTTTTTTAATTCCCTCAAAATGAAAGGCGTTTTTAAATATTCCCCGGACCATTTTGAAATCTTTACTCCCACTTTTGCAAGCATTTCGTTCCGAGTTGTGCAAAATCTATTTTATAAACAATTGGTATTATTTTAATTCTAACATTTCAATTTCTCTTATTTTAGATACAACCGTCGTGTCATAGCCGAAGGCAGCAATGAGGAAATGGTAGTACCTACAAGACCACGTAACCGTCAAAATGGACGCCGTCGCCCACGTCCCACCTCGGCCAGTCTACCACACGAAAACGATGTCAATTACCAACCCCAACCAAGTGCTCATCCTAACGATATACAACAAAACTATAATCCAACAGCTCATCCACGATTCCGTACCACAACTCTTGTTCCCGCCACTTCGACCAACAACAATGATAATGAAATTCCAGCACCTAAAGAAGTCATCACTCCCGTACCAGATAATGCAGAAAGAAAATCCCGTAAACGCACCATGATGGATCGTAAATTGCAAAGACAAAGAGAGAAGGAATTGAAACGTTTACAACGCAAAAAGGAAAGACAAGAGAAAATGAGACGCGAAAAGGAAGAACGTAACGCCAGACTACGCTTAGAAAGGGAACAGCAGAGACGCAAAATGAAGGAGGAGAGACAAAGACTACGCGCCCAAAAGCAAAAGGAATTGGAAGAATTGCGTCAAAAAGAAAGTAATGATGCTTTAGAGAGACAACAGAGGGAGAAACAACTTCAACAGGACAGACAGGATATACATAGACAGGAAATCGAGAATTTACGTCGCCAGAAAGAATCTGAGGAAAAGAAACATTTGGAAGACCAAGAAGAGGAACGCAGAAGACAGGCTTATTTGCAAGATCTTAAAGAAAAGGAAGAACAAGAAAGAGCCAGAAAAGAGGAAATACAAAGACTAGATAGAGAACGTCAAGCAGAAGAAGAAAAGCGATTGAAAGAGGAACGTAAAATTTTAGAGGAAAGAAAACGTAAAGAATACGAAGAGAAATTAAAACAGGCCGAAAACGAAAGAGCTAGACAACTGGCCGAGGAGCAGGAACGTAAACGTTTACAAGATGAAGAAAACCGCAGACGACTTGAGGAAGAGGAGAAACAAAGACAAGCCGAACTCAAGAGACAATTGGATGAAGAAGAAGAACGTTTAAGATTACAACGTTTAGAAGAGGAAAGAATAGCTGAGGAAAAAGAATTGGCGCGTCTAAGAGAAGAACAAAGAAAACGTGCCGAAATACAACGCAAACGTGAAGAAGAAATAGCCCGACTTGAAGCCGAACAAAAACGCATCGAAGAGGAGGAAGAACGCATTAAGCAAGAATTAGAAGAATCTGAACGTCAGGCCAAATTGCAGCACGAGGCAGAAATCAGAAAAGCTGAAGAAGAGGCTCGCCTCAAAGAGGAAGAAAGAAAACACGCCGAAGAACAAGAGGAACGCGAACGTCAGGAGAAATTAAGACAAGCTAAATTGATTGAAGAATCCCGAAAACTCCAAAACAAAGATAACCTATCAACGAATCTTAAAAACAGATTGGCCTCACTACCACCAGAGTTGCGTCAAGAATTTTTGGAAAAACGCAAACAAAGAAAAAGGGAAAAGCTATTAAGAGAAAAAATGTTAAGACAACAACAAGCAGAAAGTACGAATAACGAAGCTTAACTTAATAAACCATTTACTAAACCTTTTCGTTCATACTAGTTATCTCTCTCTAATTTTAAACTCTCGCTTACACCAAAAGCAGCAGCATAAGCAGCTGACAACACATCAGCAGTAAGGAAGTGCAATTCTAAATGCAAATTTGTACATTTGTTTACTCTCTTAATTAAGCAGCCTTTAAGAGAGCTATAAAAACAAATATTTTATTAATTTATAAAGAAAAGAAAGTCTTTAAAAGAGACAAACAAAAGAAAAAAACACAAAATTATATACTCATTGTTTAAAATTTTTAAGAAATTTTTAAAGAATTCTCTTAAGTGCACTAGTATTAACACACCCAAAAAACAACAACTACAACAAATGAAAATATGGAAAATTTTAGCACTTAGCATTTTTGATAACAAACTAAATTTAATATTAATTAATAAACAAACAAAATATGTATTCGTTTTAAATGAAAACCAATTTACAGAGAAAACAATCAAAAAAACCAAATGCCAAAACAATGTGTTAAACAAATATGTAAAATATTTTACAAAACACACATGAACTGTAAATAAACATATCCCCTCTTTTTTATTACTATTAAAACAAATAGACGAAAATGCACAATTATTTAAATAAATAATTAAAATTTCCTAAAACAGAAAAACAAAAAATACAAAACACAAACTACTTAAAGAATTCAAATACAACTGCAGTATCAAAAATATTAAATCGAATATAAAACCTCTAACACTTAAGTTTTTTTAAAGCGCGGCTTAAAAAAATCTGAAGTAGCCATATACAAAATAAAATTAAATTAAATAAAATAAATATTTATATTAAAATAAAAATTAAAACATAAATAATAAAATTTGCACAAAACAATTTGAAAACAAAAGAAATAATTAAGAAAAAACTTTTAATTTCCCATTATACTTTATTATTAATTTTCTTATTACTGACACCAATGTCATTGATGTCGTCCGCCTGTTTTTCGTATTTGTATTTTTTTTTATTGCTTAATTTAAATAAAATGAGAAAAAAACCAAGTTACTGTTACACTTTAAGCTTTAAATATTTTAAATATGTGAGTTAAATTTTTTTATTACCTCAAAATGTAAGTTATTTTTTTATTATTATTATTATTATTCTAAAATATATTTTTGGCCTTTTTTAAGAAAAAACTACGAAATTTTAATTGTATGTATTAAAAAATAATATTAATAACTAACTTTTAAATATAAAATAAACTATACAGAATGAAAAAAAGAAAAACTTAAAAAAAAATCTACACTAACTTTAAAATAATATCGAAATAGTCAAAATAAATCTACTTTTTAAGTACTATATACAGTTAAGTAACAAAAAAAAAATAAATAAAAGCAAAAAAAAAAAAAAACTTTAAATGGCGAAATGATGTTTTATTGTTCATAAATTATTCTGGGATCAAATGGAAAATAATGACTTTTAGTTTGAAATGAGTCGTAAATTTTACAAACACTATTAGAAAAACTTTAAAATTATTTTTAAATTTTTTTTTAAATTGGAAACTTTAAGAAATTGAATTCTAATAAAACAAATCTATATTTTTAATGTCTTAATTTTATGATTATTTTAACAAGAATTTTTGCTAAAACGCAAACAATATAAAACATTTTTCGAACATACATAATTATAAATTTATTAGCCATCGTCCAAAAAAAAAAAAAAAAAAAAAAAAAACAAGTAAGAAAGTATTGTCGGTCGTGGCCGACCATATGATACATACAACAGTTATGACTATTAAATGTGATTTATTTTTCATAATAAAGCATTTATCTTGAATATTACCTAGATTCCGATTTATTTAAGAAAAACGAATTTTCTAAAAGAGGCTTTATATGGAGAATAGGAGCAAATATGGAACGATCTTGATAAAATGTGCTGGGTAGATTTATACAATATTTGTCTATGCTAAATTTCATCACAATATTAGTGTTAATTAGTGAATTGTGGATATTCAAGTCACTTTCTGAAGGGGACTTTGTATGGGGCCTGGGTCAAATAAGGTCCGATCATTTTGAAATTCTGCAAGGTAATCATGGCTTGCATAAAACTAAGTTGTCGAAATACAATAATATTTTACATAATTATGAGCTAAAAAGCCCATTTCGGGGAATTCAGTTGTATGGGGGCTAGGTGAAATAATGGACCGATTTAACCATTTCATCAAATTATCTTGATGAGTCAATCGGTATACTTTAAAGCATAATACCTAGCCCACTATAGTGGTGTAGGGTATAAAAACCTTTGGATTGTCGTCAGGTTCATTTATAAATGTCAAATTTCAACTAATTTTGGTTATGGGAACTGGTTTTAAATTCTGTAAAAAAACATTGACATAAACTTAGATACAAACAAGCAAATAAAATTTACGCATTAAATTAAAGCTTATGCAAAAGTTTTCTTCTTAGAAATGTTTGATTTTTTAAACTTATTATAAGGAACATGTTTATATGTATGAATGATATAATAAAAGCAGCTATGATCAACGTAATAAGTGTTAATAAATATATTTTAAAACATAAACAAGTTAAAAAAGAATGTAAAATTAGTAAAAGGATTTCAAAAAAGCCAAACCAAAAAATATAATAAATCACACACCATGTAAGACAAATACCAAGTAATAGTATTATATATTAGATATTTATAGACAAATTCCAAACTTACCTTAATATAATCACATAAACCATCTCCTTTGATTTGACCATCTGATTCGGTATACAATTTTAATTTATATTTTTGAGTCTGAGGATCACGCATTATCATGCCACATTTACTCATGACTTCAGCAAATTCATCTAATGTTATATCCAAAGGTAAATTGGATACATAAACTTTTGTATTTTGAGCAGGATCTATATCAAACCATTCTGAAATTTAAAAAAAAATCAGTTAAAAACTGTTTCAAAAAACACTATTTAACTTACTGGGTGGTTCTTGTGGTTGTTTACGCTTGACACCTTGTTTGGCAGCCTCTTTTGAGGCCTCTTCGTTTGCCTTGGCTTCCTCTACCATTCTGGCCAATTCTTTTTCTTTTTGCACTGCAGCTTCTAGCTCAAGTTTTTCTTTCTCCCTTTCACTTTCACTAGTATTATCAATGAATCCGTAACTCATTTGATAGCGAGCCATAAAATCATCATCGATTTTGGGAAACCAGGCATTCTTTTCGACATCCCAAAAGAAAACGGTACCATCTTTGTCGGTATAAGTACGTTGACCATTTTCATCAATGTCATACACAATTTCAGCAGGATTCGTTTGATCTGTAGTGGCAACAGCTTCTTTAACTTTTGCCACCCACTGATTTTTTTCTGCATCCCATTTGTAATGTTCAGTTTCGGTTACTTGTGTCTGTTTAGGTATCCATTTCTGAGTTTCATTGCACCATTTATAATGCTCATTTTCATATGGATTTGTGGAGGTAGTTGTATCGTGTGGTATCCAGTTATTTTCTTTGGTACACCATTTATAACGATAATTAGTTTTTGGGTCGGTATAAATAGCAGTGCCATCCTCTGCGTATGTAACATGCTCGGCATATTCATCCTTGGGATTTTCTTTACAATCTTCATTCGTAGTTTTACTAACACATTTTCCTGTAGTGGGCGTTGTGTTAGAATTTTCTTGTTCATTGGAGGTTTTTGTTTCTAATGTCTCAGCAATATTTTCTGATTCGACTTCAGTTCTACAACATTGTGCCTGTTTAATTTGTGTGTCTAAAGGTGAGGAAGTGGATTGTGATTCCTCTTCATCTTTGTTTGATTTTAATGAGTGTTTAATTACAATTTCTTTAGCCATATTTTTAGTTACTTTATCTGTTTTGGATTGTAAAGTTTGTTTTGTTTCTCTTAGGGGATCCGTGTCTTCTTGTAGATGTTCAATTTTCGATTCTAAAGAAGCAGACGCTTGGGTTTTCTCCACTTCGTCTTCTAGCACAGTTGATTTTTCTTCTGTATTAGTTACACGGGGAGGATCTTGGTTGTCCTCTTTGGCTACTACATATTCATCTTTTAGCTCATTTACTATAGATGACTGCTCCACGGTCCCCAACACTTCCACCGAGCTTTCACTCATTTTTAAAAATAATATCTGGAAATTTTTTAAATTAATAAATTCTTTATGTTCAAAATATCTCTTATGCAAATGCAACAAAAATGTCAAACAGGCCAAACAAAGCCCTTGTAAGAACAAAATTAAGATTAAATTAAAATAATAGTTTGCCCCCAAAGTTCGCAATAGCTTCAAGGTAAATAAATAACTGAGAACCATAAAATATCATATGGAAAGGGAATAAATAAAAATTTTGATCATAAAATTAAACTTTGGCTTGTGTCTACCATTAGTGCACTCATTTCTTAAAGATATTATCCATGAAATAAAATCATAAACTGTGTATGAGTACAAAAATAAAACGTAAAAATTTCATGTGTTGAAAGCAACAAAGGGAAAAAGTATAAATAAAGTGTGTTTTATGAATTTGACACTTGACCATGGTGTTAGAGAACGGAAATCAAACATTTTTCTCTATTATACTTAAGAAAAGCCACTATTTTTCTTATTAGTTCATTCTAGTTTTTGTCTTGTGTTACCGTTTATTTCTTTAGCATGAGAAGACATAGTATATAAAACAGAAAAATAATTGTGTAAATAAAGGAAGTCCAACCAACAGCAGCTAACAAACTTTACCAATAAGCCAGCAGCAAGAAAAGAAATTGGATCAAAAAACTACAACAAAAAAACTGTCATAAAGAAATAGTAACAACAATGAACAACAACTCTCTGTTAACTTTTATTTTTGGGTTTGGATTCGGAAATGAAAGTCAATTATGGACAAAGAAACAAAACTACTAAACAAATAACAACTGTAGAAGTTGAAGGTCATTAGAAGCCAAACTTCTTACACACCACCAGCGCATAACTGAATAAAGAAACTAAAACAACAATAACATACATTTATTTATATTTTTCCTCGATTTTTTTTCGTTAGGTTTAAAGGAATTAATGGCTGTTGGTTACTTAAACTTATTTTTTAAGCTTTCAAAGTAGTTCGTTTGTTTGAAAGGTAAATGACAGTTGTATTTGTTGAAAAAATGTAACATACTTTAGGGGAGAGAAATGGGGAAAGCATAAATAAATTCTTACACAAATTTAGAGTATTCTAATTCTTTTTCTTCTTTTTTTTTTTTTTTGTAGGAAAATTACCAGTTGGTCAATATTAACTGTTGTTTTTTAACAACTTCAATAGATTATTTGTAGATATTAATGGTTATTAGATGCTACACTTTATTAAAATGCTACAGGAAGTTTATTATTTAATTTGCAACACATTTATTTGAAAAAGAACTCACTTTTACTAAGTATTCGTTTGTTTATTTTTGCTTTTGGAATATGGAACCTGTGCTCCATAGCTATAATGGGATGGAACCTCTTTCTCTATATTTTAAATTTATAATTTTCTTACAGTTTGTCTTACTAAATCAAATATTTTAGAACCTTCTTCTTTCCAACCTCAATAAAGTTACAGACCCTTAAAACTGTTTTTAAAGATACAAATTTTTGAAATTTGTTGCCTTCTTTTATAATTATTGTAGTGCTTAAAAAGTTCGTTTTAGTCCAAAATTACTCAGAACATACTTTCTATCTCACCTACTTTTAGTTTCTTTAAGTAATTTTGTTGACTATAAAGAAAGTATTAACTTGTAAAATAAATAGTTTAGAGTAATTTATTCATATTATATTGATTACTTGGACAAATATGTAAGTATGTATACGTTTAATTACAAAAAAAAAGAAGTAGTTCGATGAACTTTTAAACATCGAACCCATCATAATACATGCATATAATTCGTATTGTCAAGTATTGACGTTTTTCATTTCACATTTTTTGACACATTGTATACATGTTTAATATAGAAGCAAAATATATTTGTAAATCAACATGTTGACAAGAAAAGCACGATTATCAAATAAAAAATGTTAAGGAAAATTTGAAAAAAGTTCAATAAACTTTAAAGGAGAAAAAGAAAGGGAAAATAAAAATAATCAATACAAAAGTACAAGTAATAGGAACACCGATACGTATGTTTAATAATTTAAATTATTAAATTATTAAATTATTCATACGTCATGTGAGACAATATCAATGTTTAATGGAGGAATGATAGAGAAAAGTATTTTAGACTGTTAAGTTGTAAATTAGACAGAAAATATTAAAATATTTACAACATAAAGGGTTGATATTTATTTTAATAAACAGAATAAACTGTAACTTAGGGTTAAATGGAAATTAAAAATTATTATTTAAAGAACTATTTTCTTTTCAAACTAAAACAGTTGTGAAACTCTGCATTCTATTTAAAGACATACAGAAAACTAGGAAACATTCTATTTAAGAAATTTAAACTTTAAAAATATGCCGGGTATTTATGTGACGTTGACAACGAGACCACAAATAAAACGTTTAAATAGAAATATGTAAAAGTATAATGTCAACTTTGCACAAAACAACAACCATGGTAGCTCTACACAAAGGAATATATACTGGGTTAGCAGATTCAGAAATAGCCAACAAAAACCACTCTTTAAAAGAGTACAACAATAAAAGAAACAAATAATTTTATATTTATAGAGAATGAAAAACTGCACAATACATATCGATCATTTACTTAAAGAGTGTTAAAATTCAAAATTTAAACTGATTATAAAATATCACATAGGTTTACCCATTTCCATTACATTATATTACTTAAGGCGTAAGTTTCGTTTAATTTTTCACATAATTAATATCTGAATAATTCTGTCTTTTTCTCTAAAACTAAGTAGGAAAACATACAAATTATTTTTAATTTTGTAAAATAACATGACTCGTTTAAACATTATTATAAACATTATAAATTCCTCACCATTTTTCTCAAAAAAATATATATTTTTTAATTATGACAATTTTAAAGTAAATGGGCGACATGTGCATAAAGTGTAAATGAGAAATAAGTTTTTTATGAAAATTTGCATTTGACATTATTTTTATTGTATGTATTTGTTGTTCTATTTGTAATTCAAGTTGTTGCACTTTATGACCAAAAGGAGGCAAATATATATATGAAAAAAAGAGACCAGCCGGCAAAAAAGAACCTCAAAAACAACAAAGTTAAATGTAATGTTTGCTGTAGTGGTCAAGTAAGGGTTAAATAGGCAAAAGCCCACAAAAACCATAAACCAAGAATTGTAGTCGTAGTGGTAGTTATAGTACTGTAACAACAACAATTCTAACATTTGTAGGACATTGTCCTGTATAAATGACAAAAATAAACTTTTTATTTTAGCACACAAAATTTATGAGACCACAAAGGAACACACACACATACTCAAACTCCTCATACACAAAGTCAAAGTTAAACATTTTAAGAAGATTTTCTTACTTTTGTTAAAAAGAAAACTAAATATTTTATGAATGAATAATAACTAAAACAGGAGTTTTAGGATTTACATTTGCTGCTTCATAAATATAGTGTTTGCAACACTTTTAGCTAAAAATCCAGATGTTTAAATGTTGAATTCAGCTGGAGTAGAGAATTATATAGGAAACAAACCGGATTTTAAATTTATGACTTTTAATTTTAATATTTTAATTACTAATATTACTGGTGAAATATTTCTGAGAAAAATAATTGGAAAATTCTGATTGTATTAAGTTTAAGTTGATGGTTTATTTTTAAAGTTTTTGGAAGAAAAACCACCTACAAATACAACTCACATTTCAGTTAGTATGTAGTACTAATTTTTATTCTTTAATATTTTTATTATTAACTCGTTTAGTAGTTTGTATTTTTCAAATTAACTTGTTTATTTTCTTTCATTCAGTTTGGTAATTTCTTTGAACTTTTTATGAGTGTTAAGTTTTGTTGGCACATTAAGTCATAGAAAATGAATGTTTTTGATTTTTTTTTTTTTTTTTTTGTTGGCGGCATATATTTAATATGCAAATTTAAAAGGAAATCGTGCCAAGTATAAATTGTGCGTTTCTTATTATTATTAGCATTTCATTCTTTTAGGGGTTTTGTCAAACAACTATTTTACATTACAAAAAGAAAACAAAAACCAAGAAGTTAATTTAAATATACACATTCGAGACGAGATTTTGGTTGAGGGATTATCAAATGAAAAAAAAAAAAAAAAAAACTATAAACCTTCACACTTATTGAGGTCTTATGTATGAGTGACTGATAATTTACTTATTTTTATTGAGAACTTAAGAAATTCATAGAACCAAACTTTAACAAAAACATTTAATTTTATTGTTAAAATGAAAACAATACTCATATTAAAATAAAAGAGTGGCTTGCGATTTCATCGAAGTTTTGGCCTTGTAATTAATAAGTTTGTTAGAAATTTAATTTCTATTTAGACTTTGAATATAACTCAGTTTGATTTTAAATCAACATAGTTCGATCCATATTAACTTAAACCGTCATAAAAACTCTTTCAAGGAAACCACTCTGATATTCACAGAAACAAATTTCGATTTGTCCATAAAGTCCTAAATCTATATAAATACCTTCAACTTCTCATATTTTACGAAACATTATTTAATGGGTAAATAGGATGCGACATAACTGATTACTTGTCATCAAAAAAGATGGGAGATATACTAATTTTGTCATTAGATAAACAAAAGTGTGTAGTATATTATGGGTCCTTATTAAATTCCACGACTATCAAGCCATGTCCATAAATAAGTATGTATGTCCGAATGACCCGAAGAAGGGTCCGAATAGAAAGAGCTAGGGGGCTGAAATGTTCCTCAAATATTCTCTATTGAATATCGATTCACGATAATACCTAGGCCACACAATTATGAAGTAATCGTAATAGTTAACAACGCCTCATATATAATCCTAGCCCCCATATAAGTTACCCTCAGATAATTCGTAAGAGACTTAAAAATACAACAATAGTAAATGATAAAAAGTGTATTTAGAGAGAACAGAGAAACTAGAAAACATTATCTGATTTTTTTAATGTCTGCCATATTATTTATTTAACTATAATTTTAATTTAATTATTATTTTAAACCTTTTTAGACCTCAATGAATAAAAAAAATATAAACAAAATTTATTACAAACAGTATTCTAAAAAAAAATCTATTCATACCTTTAAAATTAACTATGTCCATTAATTATTTCTTACATGCATATAATAGACAACATTGACTAGTTTAAAGGACTATAAGTTCAAAAGTTTAATTTAATACTTTATTTTTATTTCAAAGTTCAATAACAACAACAAAAAAATATTTTTATTTTAAATTCGATATAAACGTAACAAGGTGGCACTTTCACTATTAATTTATTTTTATTCCCACGATTTCAGAATAACAAAACAATAAAAATCCAAAAACAATCACATAGAACTTGCAATAAAAAATATATAAAAGAAAAAACGTAAAATTACACTCACACTGTTATTTTTCTCTTCTTTTACTTTAATTTAAATAACAAAAAAGAAAAATACAACAAAAAGTTAGAACAAACCATTAGCAAAATAAAGAGAGTTAGCGACGTTTTAGTACAGAGTAGTATAACGGTCAAGTAAATACTAACACTAAAACTAGAAACTTAGCATACATTTAGAGGCAACTAGTACTAAAAAGGACTAGACTACAGCAACTCAAAAACAAACACAACCACTAAACAGCGACAGGACATAAACCAACCATTCGAACAAAATGAGTGTCCAGTTGGAGTATAAACGTTGTATTGACCATACATGGAGAACGCGTTAAACGCGTTTAAAGTGGAATAATTTATATATATTTTTTATACAAAGACATACTCTACTAAAAGAAAATAAATTTAAAATAAAAAATGAATAGAAATTTAAAAAAATTAAAACACAATTCAATACTAAATAAAGGAAAATAAGTTACATACATGCATTGAAAATAATTGATTGCTACAGAAATCAATAAAAAAAGTTAATAAAACATAAAAAAATAAAATTAGTGTTTTTTACCCAAGAGTTAACATTTCAATCATTTTGTTGTGCCTTTAATAATTCAGAGAGCAATTAAACTTATTGCGTAAAATGTCAAAAGGTTAAATATTTTATCGCCAAAAGGAAGTAATACAAAATAAAATACTACAATAATAATAAAAAACTAAAACAACATATCAATAACATCATCAACATGGATATACCGAATACAGGAGCAATTTTTACTTTGGGCAAATCTCATTTGGCTGAAAATACACAAAGTTACTTTTATATAAAAAACGATCCAATTAAACGTCTCATAGCCGGTCCCTATCAAAGTGCTGTGATTTGTGGTAATTTCAAAATGTTTTATTTATATGATCAATTATTTCATTGAGTACTATTAGTATAACTATAACAATGGTATCTTTACTTGTAAATAATGTATTTGAAAAGTGTAGTATGGTGGTAGGGGACGTGGTGTTGCATTACTTGGGGTTTTACTGTGTTTTAACCTAAATTTTTAACATACATTCAATAGTTTTTTATTCGATTTCTTTGTTTTTTTTTAATTCCTTGGGGAGTTTGACCTGGATTAGTTGAAATATATGTAAGTGACCTGCTACTACTTGAGGTTTATACATAACAAAAGTAATTTATAAAACTTTTCAAACAGAGGCGTTTACTGTAAAAATAATAATTGCTATGGAAGTTTACATTTCAAAGAAATTTATACATACGAATGTATTTAAATTAGTTAGTTAGTTTGAAAGGAGGATGTATATACATCAAATCCGAAGAAATACACCTAGGCCTCTATCGGGCCTGTTGTGCGCTCCTTAATCAGTGCCTCAGGTGGGAATCGAACCCACCACCTCCGGTCTACCAGACTAGAACACTAACCACTTAGTATTTAAATTAAGGAAATACTTTTAATAAAATTTACCACTTATGCGAGTGTTTTAAGATGCATTACTCTCAATTCCCAATTTATTCTGCTAAAACCGAATCTGATATCTGTTTTTTCTATTACCCGCCATTTTCTGGCAAAATTACATTTTATATAAATATAAAAATATATTTACGTTTAAGGGTTAATTTCGATGTCATCATAAATACGGGTCTTCAATATATATTTTCTTAAATTTAATTTAAATCGATTAAAAAAATATTTCACTACAGTTTCAAGAAAATTTCCCAATATTACAAAGCTTGAGTTTGACCTTCACAGTTTATGGGTTAACATTATTCGATTTTACTAAAACATCTGATGTATGTATCTTGAATTTTATATTCTGAAAAGGTTTTATATAGAATGTGTAACAATATAGAATAAAGTCTGTTTTTCAAAAAATAGTTTTCTCCGAAATCCTTAAAATTCAAATCGAAGGTACCGCTAATCTGTGAGAAATATCGACCTAATTTCTTTACCATTTTATTCCCTTCTTTATTGTCCATAAGTCACATGGAGTTTTTCTCAAATTTTTAAAATTTGCTAAACAAAATTAAAAACTCACATTTAATTTAATACGAATATATTTAACCTAATGAGTTAGTTAGTTAGTTAGTTAGTTAGTTAGTTAGTTAGTTAGTTAGTTAGTTAGTTAGTTAGTTAGTTAGTTAGTTAGTTAGTTAGTTAGTTAGTTAGTTAGTTAGTAGTTAGTTAGTTAGTTAGTTAGTTAGTTAGTTAGTTAGTTAGTTAGTTAGTTAGTTAGTTAGTTAGTTAGTAGTTAGTTAGTTAGTTAGTTAGTTAGTTAGTTAGTTAGTTAGTTAGTTAGTTAGTTAGTTAGTTAGTTAGTTAGTTAGTTAGTTAGTTAGTTAGTTAGTTAGTTAGTTAGTTAGTTAGTTAGTTAGTTAGTTAGTTAGTTAGTTAGTTAGTTAGTTAGTTAGTTAGTTAGTTAGTTAGTTAGTTAGTTAGTTAGTTAGTTAGTTAGTTAGTTAGTTAGTAGTTAGTTAGTTAGTAGTTAGTTAGTTAGTTAGTTAGTTAGTTAGTTAGTTAGTTAGTTAGTTAGTTAGTTAGTTAGTAGTTAGTTAGTTAGTTAGTTAGTTAGTTAGTTGTTAGTTAGTTAGTTAGTTAGTTAGTTAGTTAGTTAGTTAGTAGTTAGTTAGTTAGTTAGTTAGTTAGTTAGTTAGTTAGTTAGTTAGTTAGTTAGTTAGTTAGTTAGTAGTTAGTAGTTAGTTAGTTAGTTAGTTAGTTAGTTAGTTAGTTAGTTAGTTAGTTAGTTAGTTAGTTAGTTAGTTAGTTAGTTAGTTAGTTAGTTAGTTAGTTAGTTAGTTAGTTAGTTAGTTAGTTAGTTAGTTAGTAGTTAGTTAGTTAGTTAGTTAGTTAGTTAGTTAGCTGCCTCACATTTATTGGGATATATGTATACATCATACATGGGAGTAGTTAATTATATCGACTAATTAATTGACGATTTCATTAGCATTAAATTGAAAAAAATTATAATTATTTTTTTTTTCATTAGCATTATTTTGTCTAATGGTAATGTTTTTTAATGAAACAATTTCATTAGTAATTATTTAAAAATAAATTTTCTTTACCATTATTCAATGGATTTTCAAAATGTTCGGACATTAGTTCGAATTTCGAAATTAATTTCGAATATCCGAACATTATAATGTATTGTCATTTGGTGAAATCATGTATGCCAAATTTCAGCACATTCGGACTAGAAGAACTAGTTTTAACAGCTTTAAAAATTTTTCGAACACGAGTTCGAATTTTCGAAATTATTTTTTTTAGGTTTTATGACACAGAGATTAATTTAAAAACATAAAAAAAATTTCGAAAATAACTTCGAATTTTCGAACTTAATTTCGAATATTCGAATATCGATTATTGTATTGTCATCAGATGTACTTATGACTGCAAAATTTCAGCCAATTTGGGCTACGGGAACTGGTTTTAAAAGCTTTCAAACCTCGAATCTTCGAAAAATTTTCCATAATATATTTTTCGACAATTATAAATACTAATTAAATTCGTTTTTGAAAATTCATTATCAAATTCATTACCATTATCAAAAAAAGTTATAATGAAAAAAAAATAATTTTCATTAAATGGTACTTAAAATATTTTTCATTACAACTTTTTCTATAAATGGTAATGAAATTTTAATGCTTAATGAAAAATTCCCATGGTATAATCCAAAATTTGGTTTTTTGAACTGAGTACTATAAAATATGCGTCATATTTAAGTCTTTATATAGTTTTGTCTATTTTCAAAAAAATATTAAAGTTTCTATGTAAATTTGGTAATTCAAAATTTAGTTTAAGTTTGGACGAGAAACATTTTAACATCTACTTCATATATATTTTTAAATCCGGCAATCTTTTTGAGAGTTATTTAAAAAATAGTTTACCATTCACTGCAATTTTAGTCAATACGAAGATTTATGATTTATGCCGGTCTTGTAATAAATTAGTGATATAAAAATCTTAATAAATATTTCCACTGGCGCAATTGAAAATAACTATCCCATGTCTGAAAAAAGTCTCTGCACCCTGTATGTCTGAATAAATTTACATGTATTGTGCTTTTGTATACCACAATTATTTTCATTTCGATGTGTTTGTGAGTCTATATCCACAACAAGTTTTTCAAACATATTAAAGATGGCGTCTCGGTATAATTCAATATATTGCTCCTGAATTTTAAAACACATACGAACACGTAGACTTTTTTGTTTTTATTCTTTTTTTATATACATATATTTTCAAAAATTCTACAGAGGAAATTCCTTTAGTGTTTCCTTGTAGAAAATAAAAAAAAGAAATCAAAAGAGTTCAAATCGTTTTTGTTCAGTTGCATGTTGTTGGTAATTATTTAGTTAAGTAAAATTGAAAGAACTTTCACTTTTGATTAATCATACAAGTATCACATTGTTGCTGACATTATTATTACAGTGATTTTCTTATTTTCTTGTTGCTGTTCCTATTATGTTTTTTCAATTGTTATTGTGGAACAGAAGAAATGTTGTAGAAATGAATGGCACTGAAAGACGTTCTATATTCCATTACCCACTTCCATATAAAGTTCACAAGTGAAAGTTTAAATTTAGTTGAAATAGGATTAATTACGTGCAAAGGGAAGCTAATCATGATGACTTTATTTCAATGAAAAGTGTAAATGAAATTTATTGCATTTTCTTTCTTGTTAAAAATGTTGACTTTTTCCGTAGCAGTTATTTTCAAAAGGAAATGCATTGTGAATGCTTTTTACAGTTTTGTATAAAATTTTAAGGAAATGTTTTTTAACTTTATTTTCTCACTTCAATTTCTATAGTTAAATAAGTTCCTTAATTTAATTGTACATTTAAAAATTGATATTGATTCTTTTAGTAAATTTTTTAGTAAATTATTCGCAGGAAACATCATGTATGTGAAGAACACTTGTTGCATGATTGTACATTTTATTTTGCAACAATTTTGAATGTGAAAAAGCCTATGTATTAGTTTAATTTTAATAATCACGAAAAATGTAAAATCAATTCGTGACTCTTGTTAATAAATCATTGCGATAGAAACGTTGTGAAATAATTATTTTATTACACATTTCCATGTCTATCTTCACTCAAATTATAAATTATGATAAATATTATATAGATTTTACAATTAACATTATAGTAAATTTGCAAAATTAAATAATATTGTAATAAAATTGCAAATAAGATATTCTTTATGATCAATTTTATATCCCTGAATCTTAGAAAAAAAACTTTATCAGTTTTCGGCGGAAAAATATTTTCCGCAAAAAAGTTTTATCAAAAAAATGTTTCGCGAGAAAAAACCTTTATTCAATATTCTTCGGTAATCATTTCATTTAATATAAACAATACAAGTATGCAAAAGTTCGTATAACCCATTAATCGAGTAATCGAATATTTGTTGTTTTTTCGACATAGCTCAACAATTTGTAGATGAATTAGAAATATATTTACCCAGTTCTTATCCACAATTTTCCCAACAATCAGGTAGTATCCTATCTAAATGGGCAATTTCATGTCAAGTGATCCAACTCAAAAATCGATTTTTATGAAATTAGCACCAATTTTTTCACCTCTATCGACCAAGAACTGCCGGACTTAGAGGGGGTCAAAGTTTGACATTTTGGTCATACAGGGTTTTATTCAAATGAGTGTAACTTTTCACCTATTCGTGTATTAAAGAATTTTTACATATTTTGGAGAAACTAGCGATTTTATAATTTATCAGCGAAATTTTTAAAGACAAATTACAAAACTTCATTAAGGAAATGAAAAATCCTATATTAAGAACTATCAATCTATGTAAAAGCTTAATTTGAAGCAAGTAAAAATAAAACCAAAAATGTTTACATTTTTAATGCATTTCTTCTTTTTAATGCATTTCTAAAGCCAACGTCTGTGGAAAGCGTTTGAGTTACATATCTCAGTAGCTGGAAATTTTCCACAAAATTACGGAATAGTTGATATTTTCGTATATTTAATTAATTCTAAGAAGTAAGAATTAATCTTATTAATTTAATACACTATTCCCTGCAAATGGAGTATATGACCTGTTTAGAAGTCCTATGGTATACAAACATGTATCATGTTGATTTTTTAAAAACCTGGTTTACAAGGAGCAAACTGAAACGGTGTTGGAGATATCAATCTCATATGCCTGTTCATTTCCATAATAACCCCTATGCACAGCGACCCAAACAAGGACAGATCCATCTTGCATTAGCAAATTCTAAAAAAGACATATATGTATGTATATATAATTTGGGTTTTCTGCCAACAATAAACTCGTTATTTTAATGGCAGTTTCAACCAAAAATATTTTACAAATATTAAAAAAAAATATTTAGATTTGTTCTTAAAAGACAGAATATTTTAGTTATCTTTAAATTTATAAAAAAGTAAGTTTTGTTAAAAATGTGTGTTTATATAGTTATAAATTAAGATTTAAATAAATTCCCGGGATTCCCTGGAATACCGGAAAATTCTTTTTTTCATTCCCGTTTCCCGGGAAATTGAAAAGTCCGGGAATTCCCAAGCTCTAGTTGTGACGATGAACAAACGTAATGACAAATTTAATATACCTACCATTTTTATTGTGGGTATAAATACAAATATGTCTACAAACGATTTCGTTACTGATTACATACTTTGTAGACTGATATTTTTTTGTGATTTAACCATTAAATTTCTTTTGATTATTCCAAAATCATTATTACACTTGTATGACTCAGTATAAGTTGAAATATGCAAATTTAATTGCAAATGTAACAGTTGGTAATAAAAAGCACTAGTGGGTCAATAGTAGTTCTTTTCTAGTTCAAATTCGTAGACATAGACAACTAAATATAGATTAATGATTTCATTAATCAGTGAGCTAATCAAACAAGGACAAAACTATACTAAAAACACAAATAATAAATATAAAACAGAGTTTATTTAATATCCCAAATAAGTATTAATGTTGGAATATATGTATAAAATTAAAAAAGGGAAAAACCTCCCACTCATCCATTAAATGAATATGGATTTGTTTTAATATAAAAGATACACACAACATTGACAAAAAGTGAAAAAAAATTACTCGTATATTAATTTATTTCATTTTTTATAACAAACAGAATCAGGACGTTTATTTGTTTGGGGTGAAAATCACCATGGGCAGCTGGGTATTGGGGGACAACATTCATCAAATACTAGTAACAATAACAACAACAATAACAACAGTAATGGAGACATTATTATAAAACCAACATGCGTGAAATCATTGAAAACTTTGGGCCTCAAAATAGCCGATATATCATTTGGTAACGATTGGTCTATTATTTTAACATGTAAGTTAAAAGATTGTAATAAATTTAATTGTTTATTTACTTTTACTACATAGTAATTTATTTACTTTACTTATTTGTTTTTCTAGTATCAAATGAACTATTTTTTACGGGTCGTAATATATTTGCCAGTGGCAGTACAGTGTCATCGAATTTTACTGAAGCAACAGTCAACGAGGAGTTATGTGAAATTATACGAAAACCCTTTCGTTTGGAAGAGTTCGATGACTGTTTGTCGAACAACGAGGAAACCGAAAACTTTATAAATGTTTTAGCAGGAAATGAACATTTTGTTTTATTGACATGTAAGTCTGTCTGTGTGTCTGCTTGTCTATCTAACTGGACTGTGTTAACGTCATTTTGCTTGTAATGTTTTGTTAGAACTTTATAAACATGAAAATTGCATAAAATCAACAACAGGTTTTTAGCAATATTGATTATTTATGACATGCAAAAACAGTTTAGATTCAATTTAACAGTTTAGAAACGCTAATATAATACTTGGATACCCCAGGCATGGTGTGAACTTTAAATTAACTTCTTAAACTCAAATTAAACTTTTCTCATAAATACATATTTTTCTGAACATAAAAATCCCAACAATTATTGACGAATAAATTACATATTAATATTTGAGTTTAATCCTCACTAATAAATATAATATTTTGTTATAAATAAATGGTTTAATAAAACTGTTACCAACGAGGGCAGAAACTAATACTTCCGATAGCCTCAAAGTAGCAAACAAATGGAGAGGGAGTAAAGTGTAAATTTTTGCAAAGCTCTAAAAAATAATAGATAAACAGCAAATTTGCATTTAAAAGTATAAAACAACGATTAAAACTCATATAAAATTGCGTGTTGTATACCACGTTTAGCTAGTAGTTTATAAATGAAGGTGATTATTTTCTTGAGGAGAAATAAAACATATTAGAAAGGCGTATTGGAAAACATTTCAAAATAGTTATGCAAAAAAAAAAACATAACTGCCGCTAAAAATAAAGAAAGACTGCAATTTTTCTCGATTTATTAAAAGCATTTTTTAAATTAAATTAAACAATTATTGTTAAAATTTTAGCTTTTGGTCGTCTAATTGGTTGGGGTTCGAATCAATCACATCAATTGGGTCGAACTGAGGAAGATGTCATTTTAAAACCCCATGAAATTATTTTGGACTCACCCACACAACAATTTACGTGTGGTCCAGAGAGCACATTGGTTTTGACCGAAAATGGAAAACTTTATTTAACGGGTCGTTTAAATGAATTCGTGTTTCCTGATTTTACCGAACTTCAAAAGAATCTTTCCTCTAATGAGCAAATAATATTTATGCACATCTCAAAAGCCAGTGAAATTTTCATAGTCACCAACACGGGTATAATATATCGCAGCTACGAGTCGGTGCGTAATAAAAGCTTAATATTTCAAAGATTTTACGACTACGATAGTGAAGAAAATGGTCCTATATGGAAGTTACTAAAGGGTACATCTTTCTATGCCGTACTCACTAAGGCCAATAAATTTTATACTACATTCTCGGAGAGCGGCCATCATTTAAAGACATTTAGAGAAATATCGAAATTTAAAAATCTCCGCTTATTAGATATGGCGCTAGGAGATCGTCACATTTTAGTACATGGTATACCAAGATCATCTACTTTAGCCGCCACTATTGGGCCGGGAGGTGAGCATAGGTATATGACACAAAGTATGATTATGGCGAACACAACAGGTGGTATTTTGAGTAGAATACGAAATGGAAAGAATGGCAAAAGCATGGAATTGAATGAAACAAGAATTAACATCGAAGATGCTAATATGAATGAAAAAGAAGAAAAACCTAAAACTAATACTCCAGTTCATGAAAATGAAGGTGTAACAAAAGAACAAGTACAAGCGGAAACAAAAGAAAAAGTACAAGGCAACAACAATGAGATTGAAGAAATTCCCGTTAAAGATGCAACAGATGAGCAATCTCCAGATTTAACTATAAACGATAACCCAAAGAATTCTGCAGAATCTATAGAATCATCTGAAACAGTTTTAACAAATAATGAAAGTTCTTCAATTGACACTGATAATACCGTTGTGAATAAAAAATCTCCTACACAATCTCTGAAATCGCAAACGAGCAGTACAACTTCCCTAAACAAACATAACGAAACTGCGCCATCAAGTGTCAAATCATTGCGACCCAGAACACCCTACCCTGAAAGCACACCACACGGTTCCCCACAATCGACTTTAAAAAAAACACCGATGCGAAATTTTTCTTATGAAGCTGCCATGAATAATGATTTTTTGGAGCACACATCTCCTGCTTTGGTAGAGAGTTTGGAAAATATACCTGAACATGTGGATAAGGAAAATGGTAAGTTTTAAACTAAGATTTTGAATTATTTTTTGTAAATTAATATAAAATTTAGCTGCTTTGCCAGGTTTAACAGTCTCTATGCCCACACCACCCACCGAAGATGATGAGGAGCTTAGACTGGAAATCAGTGAAACCACAGATCCTTTAGATCATACAGTCACTGTAAATGAAATACGTTTCATTAACAATGGCATAGATGTAACAGCCAATGTAAAAAAATGTAAATCAGATGGTTCCGAAGATTCTCTAGACGATGAACCAGTCGATGAAGAAGACGAAGGAAACAATAAAGATGACCACAGTGTCAACAAGTCAATAATAAGAAAACAAGCTGAAGTCTTAGTAGACGAGTTAGAAAATGAAATAGACAAAAAAGTTGAAAACGCCAAGGCAAATAAAGAGGAAGTGGAAACTTTCGTTGATGGCAAAACTAAGAGTTTCGGCGACAAAGTCGAAGCTAAGTTTATGGAAACAAAGGATTCCATTGGACAAGCAGCCAAGGAGGCAGGGGAGAATGTAGATGCTAAACTCGCTGGAGCTAAGGAAACACTAGAATCTGCTGCTCTAAGGGCAGCAACAGGAGCCCGAGGAGCTGTACAAAGCGTAAGTGAAAATACTAAAAAAGCTGTAAAAGGTGCTAAACAATCTATGGAAGATGTCGGTAACTCAATGGCTAATGCCAGTAATGAGGCCCGCCAGGCTGTAGGTCAAATAGGCAACAATGTAGTCAAAGCTACTGGAGAAGCGAAAGATGCGATGGGCAGTACGTTACGTAAAATGGCGGGTGACACAAAACATGCTGTGGGTACAGTGACATCAAAAATCTCCACTGAAGTACAAGATGCAAAAAATAGTCTCAGCACAATCTTGCAAGGCAAGAAAAACAAAGTTGATGTACAAAAACCCATAGAAGAACATGAACTGGAAGATGCGCACCCAATTGAAGACATTTCAAAAGAAAGTGGTGGTGGCAAATCCAACACCACCTCACAATCTAATAATACAACAACAGGCATTCAAGAAGATGACGAACGTACCACTGCTTCGGCAAATTCTAATCACAACTCATCGGTGGGCAACCCCTTTGAGAATTCGAACCCATTTGAGAGTACAGATCCATTTGATCCTGAATTAGATGCAATGGTGGAAAGAGGCAAACAAGCCCTGCGAGAAGAACTGCAAGCAGCCAGTGTGGCAGCGGCAACACGAACAACACATGTAGGGGAGGAAGATGTGGTGGTGGAAGAGAAGAGTAAATTTTCCAAATTCTTTGAGGACATAAGGGAAAAATCCAAGGGTCTATCATGTCGTAATGAAAAATCCGTCAAAATTGTTGAAGGTAGCTAATCATACAACTTGCTAAGGTATATCCAATAAGAAAATTGTGACCATTTTGTTCTACCTTTTCCAGATCAACCCCCACGTTATAGCGTAGAAGATGAATTAGCTTTGCAGCCGGTTAATGGCCAAGCGAATGGCTCAAAAGTGTGCACAATTTTATAAATTTATTATTGTCCTTTCTTAAAGTTTAAAAAACCACGACAAAAAAATAGAAAACTAACATTTACCAAAGTAATGTTGCATTTGTTTATTTATATAAATAATAATAAAAGAAACAAGTTTAAACTTACATTTTTGCTCAATTGTTTAATATGTTTGCAATTTATGTTTCTTTATCACTTCAATATATTTTTTATTTATATTTTTGCTGAAAGCTCCAGCTGTTTTTGGGGGGAAATAAATAAACTTCTTTAGTGTAGCCAGACTTATCTATTTTTTATTATAGCGGTTTTTAAACATATTTTAGCGATTTATCAGCAACTATACAGGAGATTTCTTCATATTTCGATTCGAATAACAAAATATTTTTGAAACAACATACAAATTCGTAAATTTGGTATAAACCACGGCATAATGAGAATAGTGACTTCTATTTCTCAAATTTTTTGTTGTTTACATGCTATGACAGTTAATTGTTTAGATTTAAAATGTCAATTTTGACAGCAAGCTAATTCAAGTGCAAAAACAAATAACATATTTTATTTCAATTTTGTATTTAATTAAGCCATGAGTCGTAGAATTGTTTGACTGTAAAAATTAAGATTTCATATGCAAATTATGTACTTAATATAATTTTTTACTTCTGTGCATGTGTTTTTCGAATTGAGAAAAAATAATATTATTTAAATTTGACATTAAAATTTAACAAATTATATTTGAACTTTGTGTATTCATCCAGTTGTAAACAAGTCTTTTATATATATTTCGATATTTTTGTCAATGCGAAAGTAACAAGTTATATATATTTTTTCAGTGTATGCTTAGTTTTACAAATACAACATTGAACTATCCATCTCTTCGAAGCTTGGCAACTCTTATTTTCTTATTTCCTTTTACCAATACTACCTTTTAATGCAACTATGCATTTGGAATGAAGCATACGAGACAGACAACTGTCAAAAAAAGAAAAGAAGAATTGTGTGTTCGCGAGAATAGGAATACGACAAAAAAGTATTTTTTGTAACTTTTTCTTCTTTTTATTTTTGCTACAACCAAAAAAAGCAAATACACTTTTTTCTTAACCGACCTCAACAATTTAAAAATAATTTACATATATTTTTTATAAAACGAAACTTACGGTTTGTAACAAATATTAAATGGAAAGTTAAAGAAAACAACGCGCTAAAGGATAAGCGCTGGGTGAAAAGATTACCAAAGGAATGTAATCACTGCAAGAAAAAAAACGAAGGTGTTTAAAACGAATTTAAAACAAAAATGCAGAGATATGCCACAAAATAATCAAATAACTCTTGACTAATTCCTGAAAAAATATTCCAACGGAAACGGCTAGTTTTTCTTCATATTCAGTTGAAATCTAAAAGAAAAACTAGTGGAACGGCCTCGCAAAAAAAGGTGGTAAGGTAGGTCAAAGTTGAAACAAACGTGCAAATGAATGAAATGTGAAAAATGTGTGTGTTTGTTGTGTCTCCGTGTGTGTAAGCGAATGTGTCTGCTGCTGTGTGGAAGAATTGAAAAAAGTGAAAATATTTGCAACGGGTGTGACGTGACATTTTTTCGTAATCGTTGACAGAAAAAGAAGTTTAATGAAACGTTATGGGCAAAATCAAAACTCCTAAAGAAATTTCATTTTAGAAAAACGTAATTATAGCCAAAATTATCAATTGTCTAAAAGTAAAAGCACGAAGGAAAAGTCTAACCTCAAAATTTGATATGTGTGTGTTGTGTTTCTGTTATGGAAAAATTCAAGTGATTTTTTCTTTACGTTTGTACTGACTAGTTCATGAAGAGAAAAAAACACGGAAGAACTAACAAAACAAGCATATCGGTGTGACTGACAGAGAGACAGACGGTTGGCTGCATGGTTGGTACCGTTTGTTATTGTGTTCAAAAATATGTGGACTTAAAAGTGGTAAATCTTGTTTATCGTATTAATTAAAAGACAGCAAAAAAATGATTAACAAGAAAATTGTTAACATTTTCCAACGATTTATTTTAACCCTTCATGTCATGCTGTTTTCTTTTACGATTTTGTCCCTACAAGAAGAAACTTTCGCTACTTTAAATATTGAATAAATATTTTTGAAATCATTACCAATATTCAATCAGTCGAACAATGTGGAAAGCAAACTCAATTTTTCGTATTTTGTACAATCACATTTGCAGAGAGAGTAGTTCGACTGACTGAGTGTTCCATTTGGTTTTTTGGTAGTATTATTGACAAGTTTATAATAAAACCCCACTTTTGAATAAAAATGTATATTAACGAACACATGTAAGCAATATTGTCAAATTAGCTGTTTTTATTAAACAGGTTAAGCGATTATTTATATAATGTAATTAATTTAAGTTTTTTTCTGAAAGCTACATTATACAAAGGCTAACATTTTTTTAAAATGATTTCATTAAAAGAAAAGAATGGTGTGAGGTTTTTTGGTGATTTAACGTTAATATGCAAATAATACAAGTAAAAATAGTTTCTCCAATTTTCATGTAAAAATAGTAAAATTATAATATTTGATAAGGAACGCTATTACGATATCATTGTAGCGCTTTTTCGTTCGAGAAACTATCAGTTTTTGAATTGTGTATAGAGTTGGCAACCTTTCCGTGTAACGCACGTAAGAAATAGTGTGAGTAGCATGAAAAAAGCCAAAAAATACATTTCGATCGGCTCGTGTTTAACTCAAAAATACTTGTCAAGTGGTTGGTTGTTATCGACTCTTGAGGGGGTCAACAGGGAGGGAGAAAGTCAGTTTTCATATTCAACACACAACTGGTGGCTGTAAGAAAACAAGACAAAAAAAGAAACAAACACGTTGGCATAATTGTTTAAATAATAAATTGGTAAAACTAAAAGAAAATTTTCTTAACCCTTAATATAAAAAATAAAATCGTTTTATTTTTGTTAAGAAAAAGTTTTCTTTAAATTGTTATCAGTTATTTTTTATTTTAATGTCTAGCCAGACACATGGTCGCGCCAGCTGATTTAAAAAACGTTTGCCTTGAATTTGTAACGAGAACATAAAATATAGCAAAATAACCTTTCATTAAGTCTAGACGCTAGACAGAAGAGATCATTATGTAGTGTAAAGTGTGTGTTATTTATCAATTATATTTTAAATTTTGTTGCATTTGATGTTTATTTTCTTTTAATTTCTTGGAATTTTCTTCAATTTAAAAAAGTATTTTTGCATAAATTCCAATAAGAAAAATGTGTGTTTGTGTGTGAAGAAGACAATAAGCGGGAGAGAGAGTGACAGAGCGCGGGTAGAGTGAAAATCTTGAAATGTCAAAAAGTGTATGCTCTTCTTTACAACAGAAAGAGAGGGACCAACAACAAAAAAACGTGTTTTTTTTTCATACACAGTTGTTTTTATAGGGTAGTAAAAAATAAATACCCAACAAACAATTTTTATGAAAGTACTACACATTTAGGAATACAAGATCGGTGGTGGTCATAATATTTTATAGTTGCAAGTTGTGTAACAATAAAATCATATTAATTTTGGGGCAATATACAGAAACAGCTAATCGTAAACAACTTATAAAATATTCGAGCAATAGTTTATTAAGTAGTTCTAAGTAGGTATAAAAGATGAAAAGCAAATACACAAAAAAACATTTTAACTTTAGATATGAACCAAAATTTTGTTTTGTTTTTAGAATTATTTTTGAAGATTATTTAAATTTTAATTTAATTAATCGTTTTATTTTTTACAGGTGTGATATAAATAACATCAACGATACTACTTATCCTACTAATGGCTACATTTTCCTAAATACGTGATAAAATAAGAAAAGATTATTTTTTAATAAAATTAAAAAAGAAAACCAACACTCAATTCAACAATAATCTAACGAGATCATACTTTTAAAGTTTTTGATCAAGTTGTTATCTATCACCCGACTGGGGAATTGTTTATTTTGGAATTTTTAAAGTTCTAATTTCGCTACATATACTTTTTTAATACATATATAAAATATACACATTAAGGCATTCTTAGAATGCATATAAAAAGTCTGCAACATGCTCATGCTGCTGCAGCAGCGGCAGCAGCCATGCCAAACTGTGAAATTGTAATCGTATCATCTTCGCCTAATCATAATAACAACAATAATAATAATAACAATAATAACAACAATAACAATGAAAGTACAAATGGGGGATCGAGTAATGGCAGTGGAGGCGGCGGTGGCGCTGCTGGTGTTGCTAACAATGGTCACCAACATCAACAACAGCAACACGGTTCCTCAGCCCCAACACCAACTGAGATTCCAATACCGTTTATGCATTTGGCAGGCGTGACAGCAGAGGCTCATGCCGCAGCTCAGGCTGCCGCTATGGCTGCAGCACAAGCGGCGGCCGCTCAAGCAGCTGCTGCCGAACAGGGTGGCGGTAATGCCCCACCACCGGGCAGTGCTCTGGCCCATCATCATGCCATATTGCAGCAACATCCTTTGGCTCATCTAGTGGCCACTGCTGCACACAGTCCTGCTCTATCCGAACAACACTTTATAGCCCGCGATGCTACCGTCTTGACTAATGGCCACAATGGCAACTCAACGTCGGCATCGGGTGGACCTGCCCCCGAAAAACCATTTCAGTGTAATGTCTGCGAAAGACGATTCCGCCAATTGAGTACTCTCACGAATCATGTAAAAATCCATACTGGAGAAAAGCCGTACAAATGTAATGTTTGTGATAAAACCTTTCGTCAATCGTCCACTTTGACTAATCACTTGAAAATACATACCGGTGAGAAGCCATTTAATTGTACCTATTGTCCGAAACATTTTCGTCAATTGAGTACATTAACAAATCATTTGAAAATTCATACAGGTGAGTGTTGAAATAAATCTATTTTTATTAAAAAACAAATTCGTTTAATTTAAACTTTACCAGAAAAGCGAAAAGACTTGAAAAGAAAATTAACTTCAAGAAATTAGTAAATGCTTTAGATTTTAGCAAAATTGGAATTAAAATTAAAAACATTTTTTAATTTAATTTTTAAATTCAATATATTATGATATATTGAAGGAGAATTGTACATATGATTCTGCATATCCGAAGTAGTGGCTACTGTTTTTTTTTTATTGAAATTATAACTAAATTTGTCTTCATTCTATTCTTTTAGGCGAAAAACCTTTTGAATGTGCCGTTTGTAAAAAACAATTCCGTCAATCTAGTACTCTTAATAATCACATAAAAATCCATGTTATGGACAAAGTCTACGTGCCCGTAAAGATTAAAACTGAGGAGGAGGAAGGGTGACTAGAGGACATGATGGTGGTTGCAACTGGGGGCTCCAATAATGGACTTCAACAGCAACAACAACAACATCATCAGCAAAATCATTCACAACAACAACAGCAGCAGCATCAACAGCAACAACAACAATTAATCGCTCAACAACAACAGCAGCAGCACCAACCACAACATCGTCAAATTATTACCTCCACTCTAGCACAACATCAGCAACAGTTACAAAACAACAATACAACAATAATAGCAACAACACAACAACAACAACAGCAGCAACAAAACCAACAACAACAGCAGCAGCAACAACAAACCACTAATGGCTCAGCCACAACAACACCGTCCAATCTTGAAGCTTTTTCCAACATCGCAACAGCTGCTCAAACACTCGAATTAAGTTCATTAAATGCCGCCCAATTGGTGGGTGGTCACTTGACGGCCGATGGTAATTTCGTTACCATGGGCGGTGTTGTAGTCGGACGTTTACATCCCGCTCCAGGTGCTGCGGGCAATACGCATTTCCTTCAACATCAATTGCGAATACATACACCCCATTTGGGCGTAATAAAGATGGAACCATCGCCCAATGCTAATGAATACAACAACACCAATAATCCAAATAGCAACACTAGCAACAATAACTCAACGACGCACACAAATAATGCGAACGAAGGATGAGTCCCCGACTATGAGACACTATTGGAATATGTGCTCAATGATTGAAAACTAAATGATAAAAAACAGAAGAGAAAAAAAGGAAACACAAAAACATATGCAAGTGTACGTGTGTGTAAGCATAAAATAGTCATTTATCCTATGAAAATTTGGAATTGACTTTGTAATTAATTATTAATTTTTGGCTTAAATAGATGTAGAGTAGAATATTGTCAAATTGTCGAGAGATTAATGAATGTCTCACAGCGAATGTTAATAAAAAATATTGTTTTTAAATTAAATAAGGAAATTTATTAAAAAAAAAAAAAAAAACAAATTACTGAAAAAATCTCACAATGTTTTTCAGAGCAAAGGAGTGATTAATAGGAAAGTTAAACATTAAAAAATTCAAAACCTTTCAAACTAAGTCGAACTTATAACAGCTTTAATAACAAACAACAGAGTTTTAAAATTTTTGCTAAGAATGTTTTTTTTTGTACCTTCTTAAATTTGTCCCTATGGCAGGCTCACCTTTTTCACCATTAAATTACAAATATTGAAAGAAGTATTTACTATAGTAAATACTTCTTTCAATATTTATATATAAATATTTTCAAAAAATATAAAATATTTGTCAGAGTATATTTAATCAAGTTTTAATGAAAATAAATGTGTCTTAGAATGTGGGAAGATATTTTGCACAGCCTAATTAAATCTGATTTTATTGAAAATAAGTGCGCGAAGCTTTGAAAATTTAAAAATAAATAAAAGGAAATCCTCTTTAATTTGAAAAATATGGCTGAGAATCTATCTCATTAATCGAAAAAAAAATCGATTTTGTTCCATCTACATCTATTTACAAACACTAACAGCAATTTATTGTCCTCTATGAAACGACTTTCTTGCACACACGCAAACCACCAACCAAAAGAAACCAAGGGCTCATCCAATTATAAAAAAATAAAATGATAAATCTCCGTGTAAATGTACTTATAAAGGAAAGGAAATCTACAAATATTAACTATTTTTAAAAAAATACTTAAGGAAAAGGAGAATTTATATTATTATTGTTTGAAATATTGTTGTCACAAAATAAAACAAAAAATATAATAAATATTGTTAGTTGTTGTTATACTATGATCATCAGAATATTATAAATGAAAAACGAAATAATTGATGTTTGTTGTTAAAGAATATACAAAAGAAAACCCTAAAAAACTACTGATAACATTGTTGTTAAATAAATGCAGAGGAAACTAAAAAAGACAATGGATGTGTAATTGTTATTTTTGCATTAAAAAACGTATAATGAATGATTATAAAAACTGCTAATGTTTGTTAATATTGAAAAAAAACCCCCGGAAACCAGGCAACCAACCATCTCCTCTAATAATAATTTTAATTTAAACAAAATATAATTCATAGAAAACTCAATAAATATAATTATAATAATATAAATAAATAAATAAATAAATATAAAAAACAAAAGTAAAAAACATATGAATCCTATCAAACAAAACACAAAAACTACAAACTACTGCTAAATACTACAAAACAACTCTAGTGCTAACTACAAAATAAAAAAATAAAACAAAACAAATCAACCACAAAACAACAATTTTTTAACACATATTTTTTTTCTTTTAGGTAATAAAGTTGTTTAATTCTAATATATATTTTTAGTTTATTATTTACTTGTTTTAGTCAATTTTGAAAACAAAAACAAAACAAAAAACTACTATTATTTTAAAAATAATTATGTTTGTTAAACAAATTTCAAAAATTTGTATTTTATTTTTACAAAAAAACAAAAGAGAGAAAAACATAAAACTGATAAAATATTATTATTGAACACAAAATAAAAAAGAAACAAATATTTACAAGTAGACTTTAAATATTTATTCCTCCTTATTTTCTTCTTTTTTTAAATAAATTTATTAAACCATTTGACTTAGTTTCTTTTAAACACTGTTGAAACAATTAATACACTTATTTTTAGTTAAATATTTTAAAATTTTGTAAAAAAAATAATAAACAAACAAGATTTGTAATTTGTTATGGATTTAAATCTGTCGATTTCCATTTTATTATTTTTATTTTTCTCCATGGTTATTTTTTCTCATTAAATTAGTTGTTTTTAAAATTTTCTATAAAACAAAAATAAAATTACAAATATATTCTAAATTTAAATATGAAACTTGATTTGAATATTTTAATTTAAATTGTATTTAATAGATTTTCTTTAAATCATAAAAAAGAAGAAATAAAATTGTATAGAAAACTAATTGAAAAAAATACAGTTATGTCTCAACATTTATTTTTTTTTTTTTTTTTGAATTAGACCCCCCTATTCTGCATTTCGATAACGCTTCTGCAACGATCGAAAAATGGTATTTAAACAAAAAATGGATGGATGAAGAAGTAACAATTCCATTTTTTCTCAATGCATTCTTTAGTGACGGAGGGAGCGTCGAATTGAAATGCAGAATATCAAAATTGTCAAAAGAAGAAAATTTCGATTCGAAATTAAATTCAGAATAGAGGTGCAAATTACTTCTTTCGACATTTTATTTCGGGTTTGATTCCACTCGCAATTTAGAAAAGGAATATTAAAAAACTTATGATATCTGAATATCAGAATTCTATTACGAACAAAAGTTGTTTTTTTTAGGAAAAATATAATATTTCTTTGGTTTTTTGTATATGAGTTTCTGTGGGCCGTCATTCCTTGAACACTTGTGCAGGTTTACGATGAAAAATGTTATTTTAAATTTTGTCAACAATCCCCAGTAAATGCGACATATTGGATTCAATTAAATAATACAGTTAAAATTTTAAATTAAATTAAAACTAAATGAAGTTTTTATTTAAATCTTTTTCTACTTGTAAATATATTTAATTATTAGATAATATTAAATTTGCATTAAAAATATACAATTAGTTTAAAGAGGTATTCGATTTTAGGAAAAATATGATATTGTTACAAAGAAAAAATTGAATTAATTACAATATTTCAAACATTTGTCAAATTACGCCAATGACTTTGCAGCCTTTACTCAATTTGTAATTAAATTGTAAAATATGCTAATAAAACAACAAATGAACGCAGTGTTAAAGATTGTAAATAATATTGCTTTAATGAAACAAAGACTCATTTGTAGAAATGATCGTATTCATATTCATTTATCGAAGGTTTAAAAAACAAATTTTATATTTTTCTCGAATCGAATTTTACAACAAAAACAATTACACACAAAATACAAATAATAACATTTTTGATTTTCATTTTAAGATAATTTAGTTTTAAGTGTTTATTTAATCGATTCTTAATATTTATGTATTAAGAAACTGTTAAATTAAAACTTTTAGTTGTTAATAATTTAAGAAAACAAAACCAACATTATTAAGAGTTTAATACATATTTTTTTTCTTTTTGGTTTATGGACAGAAACTCCTTAAAAGAAAACAATATTTATATAGTCAGATTTGTAATTTAGTTTAATTCCAAATAATTATTACCTTTATATTTTTAGTTTTTGTTTAATTTATAATAATAAAAAATACTAAAACTGAATTACTTATTAATTCAGTTAAAAAGTTGAAAAATATTGAGTTAATGCCCTACTGCACTTGTAAATTTATTTTTTTCTTCTTTGAATTATAATGTAAATTAAAAAAAGTATTTTTTTCCATTTATTATTAATTACTTAACTCATTGAAATTATTACTTTGATGTAAGTTTTCATTAAATAGGGTTTTCAAATAACTGGTTTAAATTATTACATCTGATAACGATCGAAATCTTCAGATTTCCATCCACATTGAATGCCGTAATTTGAGCCAGTCTCAAAAAGTAATGTTCAATTAAGAAGAAATGACCCTATTATTATTTTACTTTAAATTTATAATTATGAATTTAATTAGTTGTAAATTGTTATAGATTTTAAACCATTTTTTTCTTGCTTTCTTTTAAAAAATAAACAAGGAAACCAATTACAAACAAAACATCCTTTATTGAGATAAGAAAATAAAAAACTAAAACAAAAAAATACCTATAATGTAATATAATTGTTAGACAAATTTCATATGATACTTAAGTTATTCAGAATCTATTTTATATTATTTTTATTTAAAATAAATACTACTACTATTGATTTATTTAAAACTTACGAAAACAAACATTTTAATTTTCAATAGCCAAACTTTTCAAGTGATTATAGGATATTTATTGAAAAATAATAGGTAAAACGCCTTCTGTAAAGTATACAAATTCAAATATGATCATTTATAAGTTTTCTTATCGAATTTTAGTAATTTTTATTTTGAAGATTCTTTTTAAAAAGAATTGTTAGGAAAATTCCATAATCTACAGAAGGAAATTTGCGATTAATTTGAATTAGTAGTAATTCATTTCGATTTTCAAATTACTCCTCATAATGAAAATTTTTGGCTGTTTTTTTTCAATTTTCTTTTTTTCCTTTTTTAACGTGTGCCACAAATATCATTGAAAATAGTTCCTAAAACAAATTTAGGTGTTTGATTTCCTGCAATGTTTTATTTTTTGTATTTATTACTTGATAATTTCTCTTTTTAAATAATTTTAATAGATATTAAAAAAATAAATAGTTATAATTATTTATAAAATTTTGAAACATGTTTAATTTACTTTGAGTTTTAGAATGAAAAATATCTAAAATTCTAACTCAATGTATACGAATTATAGAAAGAAATAAAAACAAGATATTAAATTATATTAAATAAAAAAAAACAAAATATAAGTGTTGTTCAGTAAATAAAATATATATACAATACATATATATATATACATAGATAAACATAAAAATAATAACAAATAAAAACTACAGGAATATTTAAAACAATTTAAACTAAAGAAAACATATTCAATAACTTAGTAACATTTAAATGAGAAACATTAATAAACAAATGCTTATTTATATAAAAAAATATAATTTAATTCAAAGGCATTAAAGATTTTGTTGTGGATTTGTTTTTTTCAACTGAAATTTTCCTTTATTAAATAAAAGTGAGTCACAATTGCTAGTAAACTAATCTGGCAGATGTAGTAAGTCTAACAAATATGTTATTGTAGTTTATAAGATCCGAATATTAACATGCATGAAACGATAACTTATCCCACTTGAGCTTATTTCAAGCAAGTAACCATTTTATTTTTGCAACACTTGAAACTGGGACAGAAATTTTGCAAATCATGTTTTAACAAGCCCCCGTTTTGAGAAAAATATCTATAAGTCGATACATTCTTGTGTGAATCTGATAATTCAAGTTCTCTTAGTTTATACTTCTAGAAATTCATGGAATAGGACTGACTCGAATCGTTTTAAGAACTAGAATTTGTTCAAAACTAAAACAATAATTTAAAATTAAGTATTAAACTATTTAGGGTTTATTTTACTAAAAAAAATATAAACATTTTAGACGTTTTAAATCAGCATGTTAGTTAAACTAAATTGCCTTTGGTTTTCAAATCCAGAACAAACATTATTTGCAATCAAATAAAGCTAAACTAATTAATTTCAGTTCTAAACAGAAAATTAAGCACATTTTTATACATATAAAAAATAATAAAAACAAAAACAAATATTACAGGGCCATTTAAATGTTGAAACTGCTTTTGGCATTTTTTTTAGATTTTTCTTTGATTTCTTTTATACAAAAACCTAAAAAAATTACAAAATAAAAATTGTTATAAATGTATTTATTTTTGTAGTTAAAGAAGACAAAAAAGGAAAAATCCAACATTTTCTATAGATTTTTTTGTATTAAAAAAAGAGGTATTTAAATACAAAAAACACGTAGTGAGATTAGTAATTAAGCATTTACAAGAAAAACAAATATTTAAAATTTACAAAAACGAAATTTAAAACAACAACCGTGTGAACTTTTAAACAAACACCTACAAAAAAACATACGTAAATGTAGTTTTTGCTGTATAAATGTGAAAAAAATTAAAATAAAAAACAGGTAAAAGAAAAATTCAAATAATAATCACTTAATATAAGCAGGATTAAAACTAAAACATAATTAAATAAAATTATTTACATACATACTTATATACAACAAAACAGACAACCATAAAAATAAAATGTTTATATGTAAACTAAACTCTCGTATTTGTATGTATGTAAGAATGAATTATAATATTAATGATATAACTTATTATTATTATACATTATTACGAAATACATATAAATATATTATTGTAATAATATTATAATTGTATAAGTATATATATTTATTTATTTAATGTATGGTATGTATCTATAATAATGATTATATTTTGTTAGTGATGATTAAAACAAAAAACAATTAAAAATCAAGAAACTGTACCTTTTGAAGGAAGGTATAAAAACTCAAAAATATCAAACGAATATTATAAATTAATAATAATAATAAAATAAAAGAAATTGTTGAATAAAATTCTATAGTGATGATGGCAATTATAAAAAAGTACTTAAACGATTGAAGTTTTTATTTCAAAGGATATTCTTCTCTTTATTAAAATTGAACCCACTATATTGCTTGCGTTTATCTTATCTTATCTTCTACATTCCTTTAATTATAAAATAAAAATGCAAAAATTAATATTAATAAGTATAAATATGTATTTATTAAAAGGTAAACTGAAAAAAGAAAAACACTGGACTTCACAAATAATTACAGTTAAAAAATAGAAAATAAAAAATATATTTAATTAATTTTAGATTCCTCTATAAAATATCTCAGTTTGTCTCTTCTTTCGACAACTTTTTTGGAGCAAATTCATTAAGAAATTCCAGCCATGCGGTAAAATCCACATCGGGATATGTTTCCTTTTGTTTAAGCACAACATTTTGTAAACTAACAATGAATTTCAAATCAGTACGATATTTTAAAATAATAGCCTCATCAATGCATATATCGGCCAAAGGTAAATCTACTTTGGGCTTTGACATTCTAACGGTCATCTTGAGTTTAGTTTCCAAAAGAACAATATCATTAGCCATTTTGTTGAGAACCAACACACCACTGCCATGTGTTGGCCAACGATGTACCGAATCATTAGTGGTGGTAAGAGGTGATATTTCCTTAATATCAGTGATTACATGTAGAAATGTTTTTGAGCCATGAAATTCGCAGTACATGCGCAAGGCATCTAGTAGCAAGTGTAAATACTGTTCTCGTGAAATGTCCTCATCGAGTGTAGTGAGTTCAGACTCTGGTTTATATTTGAGCCAACGTTTTTTAGCTATATCCAAAGCTATCTTTTGCGGTGTTAAAGGTTCGGTATTTGTGAATTGAAACATTATTAAAACGTTGTCGATGAATTCATAGCGAACGTAGGGTATACGCAAAAGTTCTATAGTTTCCATATACTTGGAAATTTTTTCACGATTGTGTGCTGAAATTTGTAAGCAATTAAAATTTTGATTCATTAACTTTTAAAATATTATAAAAAACCTTTAAAGATTTTAAAGAATTCTTCTATTAAAGTCTTAGTTTGATCACCCAAGAAGGGATACTTAACACCGATGGCGGTATTTTCCATATCAGCAGTATTGCTGGCCACCATTAATAAGGATATAAAACGCTAAAACAAATAAAACTTGTAAATAAGATTTCTGTGAAGGTAGATTACAATGAAATTTACCTCTAAAACTTTTAAACGTTTCTTACACAATCCCTTAGCGGCTGCCTCACTGTAAACACTGAAAATTCTTCTTGCCACTCGGGTCATTCTAGTGTATTGCGTTAAATCACAAAGTACAACTATTAGTGGTCTATTTTCTGCACAAAATATCCATTCTTTGGTCTTTTTATTGTGATGCAACATCCACATGGCCAAATCATTCTCCAATATCTGCAGTAACAATCTTAGAGCCATAAAAATCCTCTCTAATTTCTGATCCATCGGCAAAGCATCGAATGTTTGTTTTTCCCTTTCTTTTTCCTCGTACTCATTCTGATTCCAATATTCACTGCACATACTTAACTCAGTGCAGGGCAGTGGTGATGTAGCATCTGTATTGGGGTTCTGGGGGAATTTCAATGTTTCACTTTTTGATGTTTTTATGTCTTCTTCTTTAGAGTTCTTTAATGCCTCTTCCAGTAAGTCCAGTAGTATATCAAATATTTTTGCTGATTTAGAAAGAGGTTCTTCTTTATTATTTTTCAGTTTTGTAGGATCTAGACCGCATTCCAAAAAGCCGACATAGTAAGGACGCAATTTATGCCAACAGGGAGGAAAGGTTCGCACAATCATAGAAAATAATGCAATAGACTTGTGATAAGCTTGTTGAAATATGGGAATATTGACATTGGGATGTTTAGTAGAATAGTTAATGCTCTAAGGGGGATACGAAAATGTCATAAATGTAATTTAAAATAATTTAAATGCTTTAATTACTTACCAAAACTAGTTCCATTACTTTAGTAAAAACTCCCTTGCCGGGAAACTCACCACGATGGCACATATCGGTAGTGGTGTTAATAAATAGCACATAACGATAATGTTGCAGTGCACTACGTAAGCTGTGAGCCTGTGAGGGCGCTGGAGCATCTGGCAGTTCCGAACGATAATGATGGCGATGACAAAAAGCTAAATCATCTAGGCATCTTGGAGGAAAGTCTAGATGTAAACGTTCGCCCACATTCAAGTATAAGTTGGAGATAACAGTTAGCAATTGTTTGGGTAAGTTACTGCCAGTGGAAGCAGTCTCTTCTGGCTCTTTTGAGGTATTAGTTTGTGATTTTAAGGATATACTTTTGTTTTTAGAGGAAGTATTTACGATTGCCTTGTCCTTTACTGAATCTTGTTCAGTTTCATTTACCTTTTCCAATCGCTGTTTATTTTGCTCTTGTTCCACATTTCCCTCTGTTTCCTCGCTTTCGTTATCATTATCATCATCATCGACCTGCTCCTTTTCATTCATTTTTTGTTTTTTAATGGGTGAACATTCGTCATCATCTTTCATTGTTTCTGCTACATCCATGGGTTCATTTACTATTACTGGCTGCTCAATTTCTTTATCGCCTACAGTTTTACTTAATTCACCTTCTGTGGTTTCTCTAGGTTTAGCCTGGGTTTGGACACTACCTTCTTCGTGCACCATTTTGGTTTTGCTTTTTCTACTGTTGCTACTTTTTGTACTATCTTGTTTCACACAATTTATTTCTTTCAATACTCTCCCTGTATCTTTAGGAGCACGTCCAGCGCGCGTTGTTTTGTTAGTTGATTTCTTGCTGGCTTGTTCTTCCTTTTTGCTGCTTAAATTTTCATGGATTTCTATATTTTCAGATTCTTCTTTACGTGATCTCGTTGATCTAAGACTGGGCATAGTTTTTTTAATATTTAATTGTATATTTAATTTGCTATTATTTGTAATTTCGCAAACAAATCAAACAAAATGTAATTTTTATTTTGCTGTCTCAAGGTTGTAAATTTTGGTATTTTATGTTAGTACTCAATGTAACAACATTGTGGAATAGTATTTAGTTTATACAGTACTTTAGTTTTAACGGTCAACTGTTGCAACGTAAAATAAAATATTTGAAATATTTGTGGAATTAGAAATTAAAGTGTGAATATCAGGATTAGTAACAAAAATACGTAATAACAATTAATTATTTTAACACGAATAAACTATGAAACATTTTTGAAGTTCTAAGTTGCTACAAATCCTTTTTTAGAAGAAATTTATTATTCATTTTTAAATACCATGTCTAATGTACAAAATTTCTTTAAACAAATTAATTCTATTTGCCAAATCTGCTGAAAAAATCACGCTATGTTCATTGGAAAATTTAACATTTAAAACAAACATTCTCAAATTGCTCTCAATTTGAAAACATTTAAAATCTTTTAATTTTATTTAAGAACTCATAACAAAAAAACTAGATATAAATGTTAGACATTTAGCGGCAATAAGAATAATGTAAAAAAAATATACATGTTAAAAAAATGTAATTTACTTGTTAATGATTTTTATCTAGATGTACTAGAAGAAATCTAGTTGAACTTTGTTTTTTTGTTTGTTTTTTACCATGTTTTATGGTCATTTAAATATCGTCTACATTTGTGACGTGATCTAGAAAAATGTTTAAAACAATGAACGTATTCTTGAAAGAAAATTTATTAAAAATTTATTTGGCAAAAATATAGTCGAGTTTTAAAACCAAACAAAAGCAGTAACTCAGTTAGGTTAGATTAAAATTGTGATCTGATGATCAGAATTTTTAATTTAATTGCTTAATTGCATTTTGCGAAGACATGTTTTGATTTGCCAATTTCTCTATTTTAATATTTTTCTTTAAACCCCTTGGGAAATTTTTTTTAAAATATCTGACGTCATTTGTATTTTTTGTTTGCTGAAAGCAACAAACGGACTCAGTTTTAAACCATTAACTACATATTTATTTAAATCTTTTTAGAGCAACATAGATTTTGAATATAATAAAATTTATTGCAAAATAATATTTGTTTAATCTTAAAGCAAATATACAGCAAAAACGAATTGCGAAAAAAAAGAATAAATTTCAGCGTGTACCGATACTACTAAGTAAAATCAAAGAAATATTGTTTATGCAGATATCTAGATGGAAAAAACCTAAGACCAAAAACTTTAATTTAAACAACCAGATTAAAAGAAAAATGTAATATTGTTACACATACATATCTCCACACAAACAAACATGCGAAATTATTGCAAATTTGGATATAGTTTGATTTTGAAATTTTGATACACTTTCTGGAATTTTTGTAAAGTTTGTCATAATCAAACGTGTATAGCATTAACGCCATGGCTTCAGAATATGTATTTCTGAAAGAAATAAAGATTATACAAAGGATATTCTTGAAAAATCTAAGATTTAATACATTTAAATATTATTTAGTGTTTAACTAACTCTAAAAATAGGAAGGTATCCTTATACATAAATTAGAAAAAATATTTTTGAACACTCAACAGTTTTATGGTTAAGAATCGGTTAGAACCCAACAATTCGGAAAGTTAACCTCACTTTTTTTGAACACATTCTATTAGATTTTCTTATAATTGCCATTAACTTACTTCCCCTTAACTAAAGTTGATTTGTAATATATTCTATATTTAGTTAAAAATCAATGGTTCCCAGGCTTTTTAGCAAAATGTTGTTAACTGCTTTTTTTTGCTGTTGAAATCTAACAGAATTTTTTTCCACTTAATTTCCAAGTGTTGCATGTGTCACCAATTAGTGACAGGATGGAGGTGCCTGAGATAGTTGAATTACCAAATATTATTTTAGCATGCAAACATGTTTTAATAATTCTGCACAACTTTTAAATTTATTTTATTTTAATTTTTACAGATTTTTTCTAGAATTATTACTAATTCAATGATTTATTAATTAATAGATGTTTGTTTGGCTTCAGTTCTCAGTTTTGTTTGTGATTTGTATGAAAATGTTTTGAAATAATTGAAAGTCATTTATTTTCGTAAAACAGGCCTACTTGTGTATTTAATTGTAACAACAACTATTTGGTTCAAATGTCCATTTTAATTAAAATATTAATTAATAAATAATTGTATGCCACTTCTTGTCACATTTAATTTGGTAAAAATGGATATTTATGTTTAAATTGAATGCAATAAACCAAAATTGGTAAAATGTATAATTAATTTCTTAAAAATTTTTGAAATTGTAACAAGATCACAGAAGCAAATATTTTCCTTTATTTAATTTAAAATCGGTAATAATCCTCAGCACAAACGACTTCTTTTAAACCATCTGTTCAATAGTTTAGCGTTTTTTCTTTAACTTTTTGTAGTGTTTTTTGGCTATTTTAGGTATTCATTAGGAAAATTCAAAAAAATCAGACATATAGTTGCTGGGGCAAAAACAAAAAGACACAAATGTACAATTTCTTGTGCAACTTCTTAAGTCTCATGACCAAAATCAGAACAATCATGCTGCATGCAGCAAATAAATTTGCTCATATTGGCTGTAACGTTGGCGGTCTGACTAACTTTTAGCCAAAGTAAAATATTGTTGGCATCGTTAATTGTTAGAGAATTTTTGGTACTTGAGTTTGTTTAATTTTTTTCCGATTAGACATTCCGAAGTAACTTACTTACATAAATAAATTAGATAATGTCTTAATTAAAGTTGTTAACAAGAAAAAGACATAATTTAGGAAAATAGTAAAAAATGTAGTCATACCCTATTTTGGGTTTGGCCAGTGTTTCTTAGGTGCTCGTATTGGTGGTCTAATGTTTTCAATTTATTTTTGACAAATTAAACCACTTAATTTATTCTTATTACAAGTTACTTAATAATTTTTTGTTTATTAAATTGTCATTTTTTTTTTTTGTGTTTACAACTTTTTTTCAAATAAATGGAGTTTTAGCGGTAAATAATATACTTACATGTATATGTTTGAAAATATGCAGTCAAAATTTGTTTAAGTTTGCTATTTAAAATCAATAAAATTCTTTCAAAAATAACAAAGATATGAAAATATTTCGATTTTTTTTTGGAAAAATTTAAAGGAAAAATGGTGATATATAAGATCTTTAATAAAGCAGTTTTTGACAAGTTGTTTCTGTTTTCCTAAACACTTTAATCTCTTCCTAATATCTCAGGTTTGTGCCTTTAGTCTTTCATATTATTGCAGAGCATCACTGATATTTCCTTTTAAAGCCTTAATAATGATAAAATTTTAAAACATTTTGCCGATTATAATCGTAATGTAATAAAAAATGAAACATATTCAATGCTTTTCTTTAACAATTTAATTTTGTAATTCATAAATTGTAATTTTTATGTGGGTAATATAAAAAAGTATTACAACTTGTTGATTTTCATATGGTCTTCATAAATTTCAACTTTAAACATACTTATTTTATTTACATCTCAACGCTTACGAGTTTTTTCTGCATTTTCTTTACAACATATACATATAAAATTCTTAATTTATTGTAAAATTGTTCTCATAAATTTTCCAAAACTATTCACATGTCAATTTTTATAATGTTGTTTGCAATATTTTCAACACTTTATGCTCAAACACGAACAACATCATGTTTCAACTTGTCCAAATAATGATTTTTAATTAGAATTTTTTTTTCTCGTGTTGCAGCTTCATATTTTTCAGCAGTTACAATATACATTTTATACACAAAACAGAACATTAAGTTTGTAAAAAAAGAGAAACACTTGAACACTTGGTTAGCTACCAAATGCCATTTGATGGAAAAATTCAACAGACCAAACGACAGACAAAACAAAGATTAAAACAATATTTGCCAAAATAAATTGTCGATATACGATATTTTTACTTTTGGTCTTTTTATGGTTTAAAGTAATTAATGGCATGCAACATGTTTGAAATTTTTGTTTACGGTTACAAGATACAACTTGTCAATACATACGGATAGCGGGTGGTAGATATTGTACAATTAATAAAAAATTTAAAACGAAAATTGGGCTAAATGGCTCAGCATGTTGTAACTTTAGGCGAGTTTAGTTAACATTTTATTTCCCTATAAGTATAAATGTTACAAAAATGTATTTAGCAACAATCCGCTTTAAAATCAATTAAATTCATAATTATTTTAACTCCATATTGTTTAAAAGAATCAGTAATTTCTTTATTTTATTACATTTACCAAATTATTTTTTTAATAGCACTATCAATGTTTGCTGGGCTATTAAAAAAAAATACTTTCAAAACTACGCAAACAATATAAATTGTGCATTTGATGCGCTAATTGATTTTAAATTGTTTGCTGATTAAATGTTTTTCAACAATTTCAATTATTTAAGTCTTTTTAACAAAATTAAACAACAATTATTTTTGTAAACGCTTTTTTGTTGACTACTTCAGGGGAGGGCAATATTTGACGCTTGGTTTAATAACAAAAATAATAATAGACTAGACTATAGACTAGAATATAGACTAGACTATAGATTAGACTATAGACTAGACTATAGACTAGACTATAGACTAGACTATAGACTAGAGTATAGACTAGACTATAGACTAGACTATAGACTAGACTATAGACTAGACTATAGACTAGACTATAGACTAGACTATAGACTAGACTATAGACTAGACTATAGACTAGACTATAGACTAGACTATAGACTAGACTATAGACTAGACTATAGACTAGACTATAGACTAGACTATAGACTAGACTATAGACTAGACTATAGACTAGACTATAGACTAGACTATAGACTAGACTATAGACTAGACTATAGACTAGACTATAGACTAGACTATAGACTAGACTATAGACTAGACTATAGACTAGACTATAGACTAGACTATAGACTAGACTATAGACTAGACTATAGACTAGACTATAGACTAGACTATAGACTAGACTATAGACTAGACTATAGACTAGACTATAGACTAGACTATAGACTAGACTATAGACTAGACTATAGACTAGACTATAGACTAGACTATAGACTAGACTATAGACTAGACTATAGACTAGACTATAGACTAGACTATAGACTAGACTATAGACTAGACTATAGACTAGACTATAGACTAGACTATAGACTAGACTATAGACTAGACTATAGACTAGACTATAGACTAGACTATAGACTAGACTATAGACTAGACTATAGACTAGACTATAGACTAGACTATAGACTAGACTATAGACTAGACTATAGACTAGACTATAGACTAGACTATAGACTAGACTATAGACTAGACTATAGACTAGACTATAGACTAGACTATAGACTAGACTATAGACTAGACTATAGACTAGACTATAGACTAGACTATAGACTAGACTATAGACTAGACTATAGACTAGACTAGACTATAGACTAGACTAGACTAGACTATAGACTAGACTATAGACTAGACTATAGACTAGACTATAGACTAGACTATAGACTAGACTATAGACTAGACTATAGACTAGACTATAGACTAGACTATAGACTAGACTATAGACTAGACTATAGACTAGACTATAGACTAGACTATAGACTAGACTATAGACTAGACTATAGACTAGACTATAGACTAGACTATAGACTAGACTATAGACTAGACTATAGACTAGACTATAGACTAGACTATAGACTAGACTATAGACTAGACTATAGACTAGACTATAGACTAGACTATAGACTAGACTATAGACTAGACTATAGACTAGACTATAGACTAGACTATAGACTAGACTATAGACTAGACTATAGACTAGACTATAGACTAGACTATAGACTAGACTATAGACTAGACTATAGACTAGACTATAGACTAGACTATAGACTAGACTATAGACTAGACTATAGACTAGACTATAGACTAGACTATAGACTAGACTATAGACTAGACTATAGACTAGACTATAGACTAGACTATAGACTAGACTATAGACTAGACTATAGACTAGACTATAGACTAGACTATAGACTAGACTATAGACTAGACTATAGACTAGACTATAGACTAGACTATAGACTAGACTATAGACTAGACTATAGACTAGACTATAGACTAGACTATAGACCTAGACTATAGACTAGACTATAGACTATACTATAGACTAGACTATAGACTAGACTATAGACTAGAGACTATAGACTAGACTATAGACTAGACTATAGACTAGACTATAGACTAGACTATAGACTAGACTATAGACTAGACTATAGACTAGACTATAGAATAGACTATAGACTAGACTATAGACTAGACTATAGACTAGACTATAGACTAGACTATAGACTAGACTATAGACTAGACTATAGACTAGACTATAGACTAGACTATAGACTAGACTATAGACTAGACTATAGACTAGACTATAGACTAGACTATAGACTAGACTAGACTAGACTATAGACTAGACTATAGACTAGACTATAGACTAGACTATAGACTAGACTAGAGACTAGACTATAGACTATAGTATAGTCGATAGTATAGTCTATAGTCTAGTCTATAGTCTAGACTATAGACTAGACTATAGACTAGACTATAGACTAGACTATAGACTAGACTATAGACTAGACTATAGACTAGACTATAGACTAGACTATAGACTAGACTATAGACTAGACTATAGACTAGACTATAGACTAGACTATAGACTAGACTATAGACTAGACTATAGACTATACTATCGACTATACTATAGACTATACTATCGACTATACTATCGACTATACTATAGACTAGACTATAGACTAGACTATAGACTAGACTATAGACTAGACTATAGACTAGACTATAGACTAGACTATAGACTAGACTATAGACTATACTATCGACTATACTATCGACTATACTATCGACTATACTATCGACTATACTATCGACTATACTATCGACTATACTATCGACTATACTATGGACTATACTATAGACTATATTATCGACTAAACTATAGACTAGACTTCAGACTAGACTAAATGAACTCAGAAAATGATTATAAGCCTATTGGTACATATGGGTATAAGGCCAAAATTATTGTGCGTAAGAAACATCAGCAACCTGCTAAAGTGTTGTTGGTTTTAAATCGCTAAACATTTGTAAGAGCAATATTATGTAAATTTCTACACCTTAAACAAATACCTTATCTAATATTTCATAAAAATCTTTCGCATTATCCATCTAATAATATTGTACATTCCTGACAACGAAACATACATTAAAAAAACAACACCAAAAAATAAAAATAGCAAAGTTATTGATTGAAATACCACCACGTAACCAGAACTCATTTAATGTGAATTTATTATATCTTTAACTTGTTGTCGTTGTTGTTGAAAGATGGTTACAACATCTACATTTTCATCATCAGCTTAAAATGTATGACAACAATTACATATAAACACATAAATTAAAAACTTAACATAACGTCAGTCGAATCACAAATGTACCTAAATAGATATCTTAAAAATATACAACAAATTTTTATTTTTAAGTCGTATTATTTTTTATTTGGAAGTTTTTAATATTTCTGGTGACGCTATTATTATGTATATCATTCACACATACTTATCAATGCAAAAAAAAAAAAAAAAAAAAAAAACAGACAGACAGTGCATTTTCTAGTCTGTTATTATTAAAATCGCATAACTAACTATCGATCAAATTATAAAAATGCTTTAGTTGCACCAGCAAAAAAAGCGCCAAAGAAAAAAAAAATCAAAACTAGATTAAACTGTCAATTAATAAAAAGTTGTCTATTTCAATGGTCTGGTCTGGTTATTGACTGTTTCTTCTACTGACCTAATTTTGTTTGAATTTTTTATTTTTGATTTTTATATTTATTTATGTGAATTTTTGTATAATTTTATTTTTTTTCTGTACGACTAAATATTTAACAATTTTCTTTAGGCTTTAAAGCATAAACTTAAAAAAATGTTTTACTAATAATATTCAGTTGCTGCTGCTGCATGCTACAAGAGGAGATAAATAGAAAAAAACAACAACAATAATGGCAAGAAATGACAGAGATAATATATACATTTTATCGATGTGTGTTTGGTTATTATTGTATTTATGTGTAGTGTTATTTTAGATGGTTGATAGGTTTCCTTTTAGGTGGTCATTTGGTTACACTTCTCGGTGATACTCCAGGGAATCAATCGAGTTTGAATTATATATCTTGGAGTGCACACTTCAATTTTTATTGAAAATTTGCAATATCTTATTTCCAGTTTGGAAAAAATCCTTTTAAGGCGTACATTCATATAAAATAAAGTTTGTGTCTTAAGTCTTTTGTTTTCACTACATCGATTTGGTACCATTTTCTAGGGTTTTTAAATACACTCTTGTTATTTTCTCCATTGAAGAATCTTCAAAAATTTGTTGTTTTTTATTTATAGAATATTTTAAAATTACATACGCAGTGACAAACTAATATTAACTATTTATATAATATTGCCTAAAATAGGGTAACAACAACTTAAATATCATAATAATAAAACGGCAGCAATAGTCACATATGAATACAATTATTATTATTTCAACAGCAGCAAAATGAAAAAAATCCAGTCTAAGGAATTCATGTAATCAATGACAGACTAACTGTGTAACTAGAAAAATAACAAAAACCACTGAATGACTGACTGGTCGAATAAATAAGAGACTGACTAACAGACAGATATACAAGCTGGTTAAGTGTCTCTCTGGCCAAGTGGCCAAAGCGAATTGAATGAATGAATGAATGAATGGATACTTTGTAAAGGCGACTATGTTTACGACTGTCGAACGTTACAGCTTCAAATTTTACATTTCACTTGGAAAAACGTAAATAACGACACATTTTTCATTTTCTTTGCAAAAAAAATAAAACTTGTAACAGACTGAGTCTGTTAATGGTGTAAACTAGTAGAGTGTGAATATAATGAAACTGGTTTAATAAATAATATTGCTTAATTTTTTCGAGTTTTTTCTAAAAAAAAAGTTTTTTAATTTTACTTAATTTAACCATAATTGGTTACAATAATTAATGATTATTTAATTAATATTAATTGTAAAATTACGTTTGTAGCTTAATAATATTCATCACTTTCGTTACTATTGTGAGCTTTATGAACTGCTTCATCATACTCCTCCAATTCCTCCGACTCATCCTCGTCATCGTAGTCATCATCGTCGTCATCATCCTCCTCCTCCTTTGGATGTTGTTTTTTCTTTTTATAATCAACCACATTGTCGTCATTGTTTGTTTTATGGCCATGGCCATTTTCATCATAATGAACATCTTCATCTTCTTCTTGTTTATCATTATAATAATTGTTGGGTTTTTCATGCACTTCATATTGTGGTTTCGGTTCATCACGATAATCACTGTCACTATCATCATTATTTCCATCGTCGTTGTTATTGTTGAAATGATAAATAATGGGTGGCTGTGGAGGTGGTTGATAATGTTTATGCGGATTATATTGCTCATGATTTATTTGCGGCAGTTGGTCCAAATTTGGTGCATAAATATTAGATGATGGATAATATTTGTGGCTGGTGTCTGCTTTCAAATGCGTTTGAGATTGTGGATAATGATATTGTTCGCGATCTGGCTTGTAATAGTTGTTGCCGTTGTTGATGATCTCTGAAGGTGGTGCTCGTTTGTAATCATGTTGCAATTGACCATGTAATGATGAGACTCCATTACGTATGACTTCGGCTTGAAAACCATTAATATCATCGGCTGTATATTTGACCACACGCAATGCACCATCAGGGTCAATTAGGCTGTTAAATGATAAATTTAGATTTTTTTATGAAAACTTAAAATTATATAAGTGATTTAGTGTTGATAAATCGACCAGCAGATTAGTTATCAAAACTTGTTAATTTTACTAAGATTTAAAATATGGTGCTCCAATTTTTCATAATTGACAAAATAACTACATATATACATTTTCTATACAGTTTTATTTTATTAAATAAAATTGCAGAATACATTCTGATATATTAATCGAACCGCAGAATCACTTACGGAACTAGTTCCATGTCAAAGCTGTTAGTATAGGTATAGGGTTGTTTATTAAGTTTATTTCGCTTGAAATAGGATAAATAAGCTGTTAATGAACTTAAAGCTTTTTTTTAAAGTACATACATATTTTCATTTAATAATAACAATTGAAGATCATCGCAATGATGACTAGTGATCATATTATATTTCATTTAACCATAACATAAATCTCTAATTAATATTTTTCAATTTCATGTTTCTTCTACACTTAACTTCCCCCCAAATGTCAATCAATAATCTGAAGCTTCCGTTTTTCTTACTAATGTAGATCCAATATACAACTTGAATAAACCCCTCATAACTCACCTATAAACCCCCTTAACAGCATCACCATCACGCATTTCATTACGATTGTGCAAAATGTGAGCGTCAGCATCTTCCACACCATACGCAAAATTGTATTCCGCTTTAGCAACATAATCTAGACGTGGTACACCACCACCAATGGCATGATGATGAGTTTTGCCATCTGCGGCAACGTTGGCATCGTTTACATAGATTTTATGTTCGGGACCAGCAACGGGTCCAACAAAACGTGTATACGAATAACCGACGGCATCGACGCAACGTATGGGTAACAACAGCAGCAACATTGACATGACACCTAAAACCGTTATGAATGAATACGATGTTGAACCAGGCCGCAGATGCTGTTGCTGTTGATACAGACAATATTTCTTGTGGTGACTCAACAAAAGATGAGATTGATCATGTTGGTTGTTTAATATTTTACTTAAACGTTTATATTTTTTAATTAACATTTTTCTACTATTTTATTTATATTTTTTTGTATATTTTTTATATGAGTTTCTTATTAAGACAATGATGTTGTTTTTAGTTTTGTTTAGTTTAGGAAATGCAAAAATGCAGTTTATATTAATTGCACAAAAAAGGAAACAATACAACGAATAATTTGGAATTCAATATCGCAATACCGGTGTTGATTTTGTTTGTTAAACAATTGTTAAACTAAATATCATTTGCGACACTTCTCGTTTATTTATAAGATTTATTTACATCTTGAAAACATAATTTCATAAATTCACGGAAACCGCATTCCAAATAAAAAAAAAAACACAAAAAATATGTATCATGGATAATTGCAAAACAATTTTACACTTGAATGATGATGATGTTCATCACATTGTTGCTTCTTATTTGTCATAGAAAACTGTTGAATGTAAGACATTTTCATGGCATATTTTTCTACTTCTACAATATGTATTAGAAAATTGTTTAGAAAGACCACAATCTCAATTAGAAAATGTGCACATTATTTCCGGTTAATAATGAGTTTTTTCGCTGCAAAATTTTTAAATCCATTTCAAATTATTTTAACAAATCAAAATTTGTAAATAATTTGCAATATCATTAACATTGATTTGCTTTTAACCTCAATATACTAAGACCCACATACCTTTTTACCACTGTCAATTTGATTTGTAAATAAATGTTATCGATTTCTAATCTTTAAAAAAACATATCAATCTTAAATTGAAATTAATTCGGTTTCATTTAAAATTAGATTTCTTGAAGCATTTGAGAATGATAAATTGAAAAATTGTTTTTATTTTTATTTTACAGTGGTATGAGTCCAATTGTTTTTGAAAAGATATAGAAAGTTTTACATTTTAATGTTTTTATTCATTTATATTTTTTATTTTCTTGCAAATTTACTCCACTTGAGTATAAATATTTGCGAATAAATTTAAAAGTTTAACACCTCAATAATTAAAGAAAAAAATTAACAAATTTAATGTGAAGATTTTTAGTATAAATAAATAATTATCTCATAATCAATCGAAAATAAAACAATAAACATATTTAAAACTACAAAAAGAATTGTTTTTATGTTTAAAAGAATATTTATACTTTTTTAGAGAAAAGATATTATCAATTGAAAATGATGACGACGTTGCAGGCCAAAAAGATCAATACCATCTTAAGAAGTTAAAAAACATCAATATGTTCATATACACATACATATGTATATATGCATGACTGTTTGTTTGTGTAGAAATAAAAATTTTCAAATATAAATCACCTAAATTTTTCATAAAACAAGTAAGAAAGTATAGTAGGGAGTGGCCGACTGTGATTTATTTTTCATAATAAAGCATTTATCTTCAATATTCACTTGTTCCGATACATTTAAGCAATTTATGGATGAAAAACTAATTTTCTGAAAGAGGCTTTATATGGGGGCTAGGGGCAAATATGGACCAAGCCCGATAAAATTTTGTGACTATATTTATATTTACATAATATTTTATTGTGCTGAATTTCATCGCGATATTTGTGTTTATAAGTTAATTTGGGACATTCAAGTAATTTTCTGAAGGGGACGGACGGACATAGCTTAATCGACTCAGAAAACGATTCTAAGCCGATTGGTATACTTTAAGGTCTAGGACGAATATTTTTGTATGTTACAAACATCAGCACAAATCCAATATACCCTCCCCACTAAAGTGGTGTAGGGTATAAAAATACAAAGAATTTCCACTACTCACTTCTTCCAGAGTTAAATCAGCCGGTTTGATTTACAAAGTTTAGGATACTTTTGCAAGAGAGAATAGCAGAGCCGAAACAGTGATCTCTGTTCTCATTGAATGATGGACAATAACAAAGGAGGTGAGATATTGTTTCTTAATTATTATGACAACTCCTTCAGTAGTCGTGGTATCCGAGACCCATTCTTCTGGCGTGATTGCCAATTACACAGTGTCCGGTTATGACTGATAACTGCGTTCTTTTTTTTTCCTTACGAAACCTTAACAGTAAGCTTGACCTGGCTAAAGAGGCCAAGTTGACCTTGAAGTGAGACAGGTAGTTTCTCTATACCATCTGATTTGCTCCATTTTTTATATACAGTTCAGTCAGAACCATTGACTTACATTTTGAAAGGGATATCAGGATATCGCAACATTTTTGACAAGTTTGTTATACAGTTTCCCTGACAGTTACTATAACGAGGGATCCATATTAACATTATCCTAGAATGTCTCGCTATCTCATTCAGAGATAACCGGCATTCCAGATGGCTCTTGGTAAGCTGATGGAAGATACGACTTAGCCGACCACTTACCATCAATACCCAAAGCAGGGTTTTTAATCGCCATGGCGTTTTGGGCTGTAGTAACTTCGGAGGTACTTGTAGAGAAGTCCTCGCCACTTGTTGAGCAACTAAGAAAAGTACTGAATTATATTCATCCATCCTGGATGTGCCAGACTGACCTCCTGCGATGCCGGTAGCTCGCAAACTAGCCTGACCTGGTGTGGTCGCCTGACTAGTCTGTGGAACGGTCGCATTCGACTTTCCATAGCCTATTGCCGACGCTGTGGAAGTAGGGTCCCTGGAGTTAGAAGCCTCTGAGCGGGTACGCGGAAATATTTTTTTCTTCTCTTCCATTGTTTGTTATAGTGGTGTAGTCATCTTGCCGCCTAATATGGGAACAGATGCTGGTGGATTTGGACGGACAATACACATTTAAGTGTATAGTTCGGATTTGAACCAGCCGGACATGCTTTCCAGGACCACCCGTCTCTAACTGTTCCAAAGGGAAACAAACGCTATCAAACAGGGGGAGGGTATTTCTTAGTTTCACGCTCAATGCAGACCCGTCTGGAATGTGTGACTCTACGAGGAACAGCCAATTTGTGCTGGCCATTCTCTTCAGCATGGTTCTACAGATCGATGCGCTTAAGCATCTGCATCACGTCATCGCAGATGACAATAGTTGATGGTAGCGAAGCACACTGGGTAGAGCTAGTAAATATAATCTCACACAAAATATTTAAATATACTGTTATTGTAAGTTGCTAAAGGAATAGCAGCTGTTTCAATTATTGTGTTTTATAGTGCTAGCTGATGGCGTTGGTGTATTATTTTTTTAAGTGGTGTTAAAAATTATAGAATAAGAGTTTTGGAACTCTTCATAGCATGTGTTCTAAAATTATATAATCATTTATGATACAAATCAGTTGGTCTCTTTAAATATATTTTTGAACTTTTTACATAATTTTTGTTTAAATAGGTTTTTTTTTAAATTTATTAAAAATAACTATAAATTTGTCCATTACTGTATAACATACATTGCAATTTAAAATCATTTATATGCAATTGGCTCGCATTAGTTGCATACTTTATGTTTTTTTCTCTCTATTTTCAAGTTTGTACTTGAGAATGAAGTATCCCCAAACATAAGATTAGTGTATAAAAATGTGTTTATTTATAGTTGTAAGATTACCCAGCAGATCTGAAGGTAAATATTGTATTTTGTACTTTTTGTTGTTTAATTTTTAGAATTAAGAGCTGAACGGATTTAAAGTTGACTTGTATGTGCTAATATGTTAGATTAGGTTAAGTTTTAAGGACTGATGGAACTAATTCCATGGACTACAGGGTACATTTAAGAGTATATATGTATGTATGTATATATTTGAATATTCATGAGTATGAAATTTTCTTGATGCTTTAACCTTTAACAGGGTCTTGATAATGTTGGCAACATAACATTTCAGTTGTTGTTTTTTTCTTATTATTATTGTATTGTACATTGGTTGTTTTATTATTTTGCATTGTTTGTTGTAGATATTCGTGTTCAACATATGTATGTATGTATATAAAGTTAAATGCTGTTGCTAGTTTAGGCGTTTTTCTTGTTGTCTCAACACATGATTTTAAAATGTTGCTAGTACTAGTATTTTGTGGCAAGGTGTTTGTTTGGGATATATTATGCATTTCCTAAGTCTTTAGGAGTATTTAATGTCTGGTGTTGAGCTTGTAAGTGATTCACTCTAAGAAGATTTCGATGTTATAAGTAGTATGTAGTATGCAGGAATATTTATTTACTATGTTATGTAACAGTAGTTGAAATGTTTAGCTTTATACTTAGTTAGTTTTTGTATTGCAGAGTTTTTTCTAAAAGCATGGAAGCTATTAAGTGATAAAACATTGTATTTATGGTTTTGTACCAAACTATGGCAACAACAATTAAACCCAAAGAGGACGAAAATGACACCATATTAAATTTTTATTGGACTAAATTTAGTTTTTCTACTTGAAACTACGCCTCTGGTATTAAACAAAATTACAATTGTCAAAATTGTAAATTATTTATGCCAATCATGTGATAAATTTGTAAATTCACATTATAAGTTAAGAGCCAATAATATTTATTTAATTTATTTTGGCTTTTCGCGAGAAACCATTTACACAACTTACAAAAGAAATTCATTTAAATTTACAATAAATCTTATTTACTTCTGAGCATTTTTTTCTACCCAGCTTAACTCAAATCGTAATAAACTTTCCAAGTTACAGTATGTTTTAACCACATTTAAGTCAAATATAAGATACTGACAAAAAGTCTATATTTAGGTTTTTATATTACAAGTACTAGTCGTAGTAGTATTAGTAATAAGTAGACGAAGAAGTGAAGAAAAAGTTATAGTCGTATCTATAGTATTTATTTGAACGATAAATAGCCTAAAGCGTTTACACTTCTATTTTTGTATTTATTTACTTACAGCTAAAATATTTTTATTTTAGTTTTTACTAAGAAAAAAGAAAAAAGATTATGTAATCGTTGTAAGTTAAACTGTCTATTCGTATAATCCATACAAATAATTACTATTTACACAGAAATATTGTGCGATTTAATAATGTTTGGCCATTTAAACAAATGTGCTATAAATTAAATTTGTTGTAAATACAATAAAGGGGGAAAACAACAACAATAGCAACAATAATTGTACATGGTTTTGTGGGTGGATGATTTCAAGTGGGTGGATGATTGGTCCGACAGGCGGACCGCTAAACAGGCGAACAAATGATTAAAATGGGCATATTAACAATTGTTTTTAATAAAAATTAAATTGATCGATAAGTATTAGTTGCTACGACTTTGAAATATTCTCTACTATTTAAAAACGTTGATGATTTCCATAATTTCAAGTTCGAAGTATTATTACGATTATTCATTTAGAGTATTTAGGATTAGTATATTTCTAATCCAGGGTTCTTTATATAGTTAAGTTCTCCACAATAGGTCTGGTTTTTATTTAACCTTAGTCTTTTTAGGAATTAAAAAAAAATTAATATTTGCTAAACAAACTGTCTTACAAATTCTCTTACCCTTGTAGTAGAGTATCTTAAAAGTGAAGGTATTCTGTTAAGGCTGCAAAAAATAGCCCACATATTCTACACACATTTCCAAAGTCTAAGAGGTTTTGTACGTGTTGACTTAAAATTATTGTTATACTTAATGAAAACATTAAAAGTAAATATTTAAGTCTAAATACTTGCAACTATTGTTGAGTTGGAATTTAATATAATTTGTATAAAAAATGTGTTTGTTTTTAATTTTTCAACTATATATTTGGTCTTGTTTTATTAAATTTGTTTGTTTACTTTTTTTTCTAATTTATTGACCCATATTTAAAAATGACTTTAAAGCTTTTAATATTTGTTTTAATCCAACACAAAACCACTACTCTGTTACAGCCTACAATTGTTAAGATTACTGGCAAAAAAAACATGTTCATTATATGAATCACACACAAATAGAAAAACAAATAGACAGACATTTGTATGAATGAATGAATGAACAGACGGACACTTTCACATAATAAACAGATTGCAACTATTTTTATTTATCCTCCTCTCACTCAATAGAGAGTGCCTGACCAATTCACACTGTGCAGACATTGTTTGTTTAGAGTTAGGCGGACGGACAGTTAGACCGACAGTCAGGCAGCCACTTGTTGTTGATTTAGTTTTGATCCATTTTCATGTCATCCATGTTAAAGCTGTTGTTTTCGTTTGTTTGTTTGTTTTCCTTCTTCGCCGAAAGAAACGAACCAGTATGTGGTAATTTATAGCAGATAAGTTTGGGAGTAAATGGCCCAGTTTTTGCTTTTTCGTTGTTATATAACTTTGATATGAGTAAACCATTGAGTAAAAAAAGGAGAGTGTAAATGAAAAACAAGCAAGTATGTGTCTTAAGTTTTTCGTTTTGTTTTACTAAAATAAACATTTTATTCGAAGATATATGTATATTAACTACATGTTTTAGTGAAATTTATACTAAATTGCAATTGCTGAATTTCTTTTTATTAAATTTTTTTACTTTGTATAAAAGTGTAAGTATTTACATTTTAAGATTTATATATAAACTGGAGTAAGGATGAGGTTTGTATTCATTCAAACTTCTAGTTATTAAGAAACACTTAGCAAACCATGGTTTGCTTTAAAACGGAATATTACAGTTATTTTTACTAATTCGCTAATATATTTAATATTGGGAATCTTGGAAATTTCTTTTTAATTTTTCAGAATAATATATATATTTTTTAAATATGGGTTTGGTTGTATTTTCCATGTGCATTATATCAATAATAAATTTTTTGTGCATCGCCGGCTTTAACAGAATTTTAAACATCTTTTTAGTAGTATTCATTAGAAATTATTCAATAACATAAATATGTTTGGTTTGAAGTAAATAACAACAAAAACATAATTAATAAGTAATCCTTAGAATCAGAAAAATATCTTCATTAACAAAGTTAGAACTAATTAGATCACTGGTCAAATATGTTATGGGATATTTTCTTTCTAAATAAAGGTAAGTTGCAATTATGTAGAGTTATTTACTTAGTACCTTATAATAATTTTTATTTATTTTCAGAGCATTTTGACCGTTGACAGCATTTAAAGGAGCACGTTGAACAATTTTACGAAACAATTTCATTAAAACTTCATATATAGTATCTTGGCAGATCATGTATAGTTCTTGGTGGATTGAATCTCTATGGGTTTTTATTCACCTTGGTGCTGGTTTTCTATAGTTTTACCTATACATATTGCCACCTTTTCATATCAAGCATTAAACATTTTTTTATACATATTATCAGCGTATGATTGATATTAATAAAATATATATTTAATGTTAATCATACGTAATATTACACAATTATTTAGATTTCTTATTTTGTTATTTGAATAATTCCAAATGTTTAGTTTATTTTTAGAGAAATTAATTCATACATTTTTAAGTAAGTAAGTAAAATCTCTATTTGGCTATCTGGCTGATCTTATTAATACTGGTGATTCCGATCCTGTATTCTCAGTACCAGCATGATGCATTAATTGTATGAATCAGAATTTCTGTTGTTAAAAATAATGTTCCGACATCAACAAATAATATCGAATGAACCTGAAAATATATATAGTGTTTCCAGTTTGTGGGACAACTTATCAACAAACAATGTTTTTATTGGAAACTTCTCAAAATTCTTGTACACCAAAGCTGTAAATTATAGTTACAACTTATTTACTATTATAATATTAAGTTCCCTTTAATTGTCTTTGGTGAAATGTCAACGCTATGTAACCAGCCGACAAATTTT